TCCGTCTCCGTGTGCATCAGCGCTACCCGCTACCCGTCTCCGAGCCCGTTCCCGAGCCCGTCCTCATTTATTCACACGCACCTTGAAAGTGGCACCCAACGCTTTCCGCTCTTGTCAGCTGCCAAGTGTATGGTTTTCCATTTACCATTTTCCATTTTTCGTTGCTGAATTTCCCAGCCAGACAATTGCTATAGCAGTTGAGAAAGGATGCCTGTGTGTGTGTATGAGTATATGTGTGGGTTAAAGGACCAAATCCTGCAATCTGAAATCATTTTCCCACTCCGATCGATGGGCTGTTACCTGTAACTGGCTCTGCGGGCTGTTCACACCCCCTCCACACATGTGTTTCTGTTTCTGTGGCCTGGTCCTGTTCCTGGTCACGCCCCGCTCGTCGAGCCGTGGCAGGACCTGCAGGATCCGCTGTAGCGTGACAACCTTTCAACGCTCCTGCCCCGCTTAATGCCAGTGGCCGAAATTGTGATTAATGTGGCTCTCAGTTAGTTAACTTCTCACCTTTTTCTAGTCCCAAAACAGGGAAACGAATTATGCAAATGTCCATTCGAAATCCTTCTGGGAGTCAATAAACTTTGCCCCCCCTCCCCCATCCAACCAGCCATCGGGACTTGTGTGGCAGAACTCCTACAACGAGAATTTCCATAAAGTGGAAAAACTGAATACAGAAAACGAGTCGATGCCGATGCCCAAGCCGATGTCGGGGAGTCAGAGTCAGAGCTGGAGTTGGAGTTGGAGTCACCCTCTCAATGTTTGTGCAAGCCAAGAAAACCAGACCAGAAGATGATCATCATCATTATCATTAGCCAGAAAGAACGAAAGAAAGAGACAAACACACACACACAGAGAGTGAGTGGCTAGGGGTAGGGGGGCAGGCAGCAGAAGATGCTGTGGCCGAGGAGGAACATCTTCCATGGTTAGGCTTAGGGGCCCGTAGGCAAGCGACAAACTCGTGACGTTCGGGAAAAACTCGGCAGTTACCGTCAAGACAAAAGGCAACGACGTGACTGTACTTTTGAGCAACGTTTCACAGGGTGTTCCCAGTTCAACCGTTCGCTCACGAGCTCTCTCGCTCTCTCTCTGTGGTGTGTGTGTGTGTGTGTGTGCCTGCATTGATGACGTCGTTTGTCGACGACGAAGTGGAAAGTGTTGGCCCGTTGTTGGTGCCTGGTTCCTTCTTTGGTCTCTTCTTTAGTTTTGTTTTTGTTTGCCTGTTCTGTTTTGACTGCTTTGAACGCTTTGTTATCCCCCCAGTACGCACCCCACAGCCCACAGCGCACAGCCCACCCCACTGCCCACGTCTCTGGTTGCCATAGTCACTGCCCCCCCTCGCACTTGTTTGCGACAGGGCTGCCCAGAGAAGCCGCTGAGAAGTGGTTGGGTCTGGGCCTGGGCCTGGGCCTGGGCTTGGGAGGAGCGAAGACTTTTGTCTTTTCGCATTAATTATGCTTGGTTCTTTGGTTCTTGGGTTCTTTGGTTCTTGCTGGTGGGTTCTTCTCGGGCTGTACGGGGCTCTCTTTTTGGCTCTGCCTGCCACTTGTCGCTGCTCGGTTGAGTGGAGTCGCCTCTTGGGCTAAATTAATTTTCCTTCCAGCTTTAGCCCGCGGGAAAGACGGCAAGACTATTTAATTTTGAAAATTGTCGGCAGTGGGAGTCGGGAGTCGGGAGTGGCAGTTTAACTAAGAAAAGTAGAAGACATTGGCCCCTTTTGGTGGGAAACTCCCACGATTGCGATCACTTTGACCGTTTCCCGTTTCCCGCCGCCCGTTGATTGTGTTTCACTTTATATGGTTCACTTCAGAGTGGAGCGGAGTGGAGTGGAGTGTGGAGTGTGGGTGCCGGCAGAGATACAGGGAAAAGTTCTCGACATCTGGCCATGCCTCAATGCACAATTCCCATTAAGACACTGCCGCATCGACGACTCGCCTCACTCCTAATGGGAAATCAGCAAAGACAAGGCTTGACAAGGCAAGGACAAAGTCATTAAGGAAGCCAGACAATGCCGCGCAGGTCCTCTTCTTCCGAAGACCTAAGAGATCAAAGATCAATCTCATCTCAGCTATCATGCTGTACCTCATACAAATGCTCGTAACGATGAGGCAGATACATGGAGGAGGATGATCGTGTGCCCCCCTTTGATAAGCCACTCTGAGGCACTCTCCTCCAGCCCCATCCTCCCCATCCACCTTCACAGCCGAGCGCTCTTATCGTAAGCTTTGTTTGCTCTATCCACATGGATACTCCAGATTTGTTCTTTGTTGCTGTTGCTGTTGCTGTTGTTGTTGTTGTTGCTGTGGGTTCTCTTTAATCTCGAACGTATCTAAGTAAGTGCAAACAAAGTTTTTCGTTTTTCATTTTTCGAGTGCAGCCTTTGATGCATTTTGTGGCCCTTCTTCTTGGTTCTTATTTTATTTTCGGGGTTTGTTGTTTGCTCTGCTCAAGCGGGCATAAAAATGAAATTAACATGAACAAAGGTGGGCCCAATGGTGGGGGGAGATAGCCAAGTAGATGGAATGGGCATGGGCATGGGCATGGGCATGGGCAGGGTGGAGAATCGCTGGGCACGAGCATGGAAGAGCAGGTGCTAATGGCTCCCAGAGTCCCAGAGTCAGAGTGCGGACAAATCTCGCCAAAAACAAAAACACCCAAAAGACCCATCTTTATTCAGTAGTTCGCCGTGGAATGAATCACTCTTTCCCCCCACCACCACCCCTTAGCTTGAGCTTCAATTTTTAGTAAATTTTAATTTTTATTTCTTTTTCTTTTCTCGAATTTATGCACTCGACGTGCTGTCTGAAGGTTTCCAGTTTTTTTTTTGTGGGCAAATAAAACAAAACCCACACCATGCCATGCCATAGCATCATTTAGTTTACTCCGAAGAGAAATGCCATCAAAGTCTGTCGTAGAAGCCATCAATTATTGCAGGGGTTCTTCGTTTGCCCTTTCAGATGGTATCTGCACATAGAACTGATCATCCACTAATCCATCAAAATAATCGCAGTTGTCTCTTGTCAAATGATGGGCCAAAGCAAGTTGGGAGAGGGTTAAAGAAATTAAATTAAATGATATGAAAGAAAGAAAGAAAGAAAGATATTCTACGCAAATGAACAGGGATCAAATATTCACCGATCATCTGCATAAAGCTACTCATTTGTATGGGGATGTGTGCAAGGTTTCGAGCTTAAAATTGGAGTTTACACTTCTGTTTACTTAAAAAACATATACATAAATGCTGATCACATAAATGGATAGTTGGGATACAGTGGATGGATCATCGCTTGCTATTCCCTCTCTTCGCCCCACACTCAGCCACTGCAGGCAGACGCCACTGTGGCTTGCGCTGTCCCGCCGTCCCATCAATCAATTTAACAGCGAAGCAGAAGCAGAAACAGAGACACAGTGCCAGTCCCCGCCCCCCCTGCATGAGTCATGACCCGAACCCGAACCCCGAGACAAACACGAACCCGATTACAACTCCAACTTAAACTGCGGCTCAAGTTGCAGCTTCCTCGCCTCGGCTCGGCTCTACTGCAGCTTTGAGTCATGAAAGGAGAAGCTTTCAGGCATCAGACACTAAACAAACAAGAAAGCAAATGCCAAATGGTTCTGCTGCTGCTAGATCCAGATCAGTTTCCAGATAAATATAATTGCATATATGTACATAAGTATGTATGTATGTATGTATGTACATAGTGTGTATTGTGTATTGTGTGCGTTGTAATGTAAGTTCAATGGGTAGCTAACATCTCCATCTCGTGCAGATTATAATAACTTGTGCAAGCGTTATACATACATATGTACATATGTATGTAAGTAGCTGCGCTTATCTCTGACCAAGTGCAAGGAGAGCCGAGTGCATCTTCCCTGCGCAACAGATATGTAGATGTGTATGTAGATGTATGTGTAGGAGTGGGAGAGGATAACCAACAGTGACACGATAACGTGCATCGGAACGTGGCTTACTTTTCCCCACTTTAAAATCCCTCGCCCTCGCCTCTCCCTTGCTTTAATCTGAAAGATATAAAATGAAATTTTGTACCCTCGTGTTTTTTTTTTATTGTCTTTTATTATCGGTTTCGTTTTTGATGCTCGCTCTTATTTTATTTTATTTTTTGTTTTGTGGCTGAACCTTGGTATTGATGTTGTTGTTGTTGGTCGAATCGGTTCAATTTATTTTTGGGATTTTCTTGTGAATTTCAGCGGGTTGCTGGGCAGGCGATATGTATTTAGTGCGTCACTACGGACATGCGGTAATACCTAGTAGTTTCCGCTTACAGCTCTGAGTCACTGTTTTTGAGTTGAAGCTGAAGCCCGGAGTCGTAGTCGTAGTTGGAACTGCCCATCTTCCAACTCGAACCATGGCCACAGACGACTCTAAGAGCTTTCGGCTCAAAACGGGTTCTACGGCTATTATCTAAGTTTTAAGTTGATTGGGACATTTCTGCATTGCTTGATCCTGATGCCACTTCATCTGCTGCCCGTGCCCCCACCCCCTTCCCGTTCGTCGTCTTCTTTTTTCATCTTCTGTGCTGCATTTGTCATTTGAATTAAGGCAAATCTGGGCAGCCAAGCACAGGGTGACTCCTGTCAAACAAACACACACTGCGCGAGAGCGCAGAGAGCGTAGAGAGGAGAGAGAGAACCATGCTGAGAGAGACACGCAGACTTGTCGTTTACCTGCTCACCCAAGACACATTTACCTGTTTGCCCTACTACAAGACAAACTCCCCCCTCCCTGCGCCTGTTTTGTGGTTCGTTTCGTGTTCGGTTTGGGCTCAGAGTTTGCTCAGGTGAGCGCGCTGCGCTGCGCCGCGCCAGAAGAGTGAAGTTCTTGTTCGTCTCACAATAACCGGTCCTGCTCGCCTGCTCGCTCGCTCGCTCGCTCGCTTGCTCTTCCCTGTCTCGTTCGCTCTCCCTAGAAACGTCTTTTGTTTGTCGACGCCGCTCTTGGCTGGTCTTGGGTCTGAAACCGAGCTGCAGCGGCAGCGGCCCAAACAAGTTTCAGTCGCGAGACAGTGCGGACGTGTTTGATCCAACCGAACCATCCAGCCACCAGAAACAGTAAACGAGAATCGAAAAAAAATTGCGCGCGCGGCAAAATAAAAAAAAAACGCTGATTTCAATCATATCTCGTTTTGTTTTTCTTTTTTCGAGTTTTGAGTGTGTGTGTGTGTGTGTGCCCGTTGTCCGTGCCTGACAAAAGTTGAAGAGTTCGACAAAAGTTGAAGAAACAACAAAAAGAACAACAACAACAACGACAACAACGAAGTTGTTTGACTGGCAAATGTGCAAAAGTAACTTTTTAGCTGGAAAACCATTTGGGATTTGGATAACTCAGCGAGAATCGAGGAACGAGAAACGAGCAACGAGCCTGGAATACACATGTACATGAATACCCCTATTAGAATGATGCCGGCGTAAGTTGTGCAGCGATGCAACAAGTATTCCACACATAGAAGAAGCAGCTCAAGGTTTGCCCCCGTGGATTGGGAATAGTTTGGAAAGCTTTTGCCCTTAAAGCCCCTAAAGCAGATCCAAGTAGAATCCTCACTTGAAGGGAAGTTCTTTGATTTTCCATGGGATCAGAGTTGCCCCTTTGCAGATGAGAACTCCCAGCTGTTTTGCATAGTTTTCGAGTTTGGAGATATCCGATCTCCACGCTGCTCCACTCAAATAGATTTCCAGTTATAGCCACTGACTTGGCTTGGCTCTTGGCTTTGTTTTCGTCTTTTCGACCCATGTGGGTCCATAGCGGTATGAGCCACTTAGCCAGCAAAGCAACCGCTAACTTGTTTGCCATCCATCGATTTGGCAGCCAAAGTTTTTGGCCTTTTGTGAGACATCTTTTGGTATGTTAATGTTAGCTGCCCCCTGCCCCCCGTCCTGCGGCGGAAACCGGCTGGAATTGGATGCCACCAGGGAGGGACCTGTACAGTGGGCATCTCTCTGCTAATGCATTTATGCTGCTTATTAAAGATTAATCTGCTCATCGCACGCAGCGCAAAAGAGCTGCCAGAGCTGCCAGAGCTGCCATGGCCATGGCTGGCTTCTCAGGCCAATTGTCTTTCCCTAGGGAAAGTCCAGAGAATCACGCGATATTCCCCACAGATATACAACATACTATCTAATATGTATGTAATACATGCTCCTAAAGAGAAAGAACGAGAGAGAGAGAGAGAGAGAGAGAGGGAATAGCTAGCATTTAAGTGCAATTTGTGGGCCACTGACGAAGAGGCAGAGCCAGGAGGGTGGCACGGGGCGAGCACTTTGCATTTTCAATTTGCATTGCCAGGCCATAAAAACCAGTACCCATGCCCCATGCCCCGTGCCCCGTACTCCTCTGCATAGACCCGCCAACTGGTCTCCGCCCCCACTTGAAATGCAAGCCATCAACCCGAAACCGAACCCCAAACCCCAAACCCAACGAAAGACTTGGGCCACAAACTCTCTTCGGTTTAGGCCGCGTCTTCGAGCTGGGGCATATGTCACCACCATCCTTGCCATGCCCCCACCACCACCACCACCACCATCATCATCTTCATCGATTTCATCGGCTGCTTTGGCAGCGACTTTGACTGCCACTTCGACTTGGACTTGGACTTTATTCTGTTGTCTGTGGGGCCCAGCATATTAATGTGTGTTTGGGATTCTTGGGGCCAGCACTGAGCGTACTCGTAGTTATGGCTAATTCTCAAAATGCTGGCGCATGTCTGGCATATGTAAAAGAGAGCCATTAGTCCCCACAGTTTCAACCGATTGGCAGCCGCCTCACGTGCGCCTGGGCCCAAGGCTGGGCCCGGTCACCTGTCTACCTGAGCCGTTGCGAGGCACTTCTTTCCACTTGCCACTTTGCTGTACCCTCCACCGTCCACCGTCCACCGTCTACCCTCTTGGCCTTCTTGGCCTTCGTGCCGCGCAATCTGTGCATCTTGCGGGTTCTCTCTGGCTCTATCTCCGTGCAGAGTTTTTCTCAGTTCTTCAAGCATCCTTTTGTCTGTGGCAGGTTGCACACGTGTTCGGGTTCTCACATTTACCCCGGGCCATGCCATGCCTTACCTTACCTTACCTTACCTTACCATCCTTACCTTACCTATCCAGTTTTCCGACTACTTTTCTCGCTGCTCTTGGATTTTTCTCAATCTCTCAATCTTTGGCTTGGGAAAAAGGTCAGCTCTTGCCGTTGTTCTGCCAGCTCTGTCTCTGGCTTTGCTTTGCTCGTCTTTGCTCTGTCTCTTGCTCTTGCTCTTGTTGCCGTTGTAATTGCGGAAGTTTTTTTGCCATAAAAATTCGTTTGAGCCAAGCGTTTTAGCCCCCGCTTGTGGCTTAACAATTAAAGCTCATAAATCATGAGACTCCCAAGCAGCAACAAAAGACCGCAATAATCATATAAATAATAATAAACGAAAAGATTTAGCTGCAGGCCAACTGCTGTTTCCAACTTGTTTGCATTTCAATTTCAAATACAAAACAACAACAAAACAAAACCGCTCTCAAATCTCAAATCTATCTATGCAGCCAGCTGTCTTGTCTGGCTGTATCTTTAGCTGTAGCTGTAGCTGTAGCTGTATCTACAACTCTGCCTGTAGCTCTCTGTGTCTGTTGCTCTGTCGCATGTCTTTCTGCATCTGTTTGTGTTTGATTGAGGTGTGCAAAGATCTATAAATACTCGCCAGTGCCAGGCCATATTTCAAGGACTACAAGTTCCCCTTCGAGTGCCCGCCGACCCGCAAATCAAAAATTCAAAACGCAAAACGCAAAACAAAAACTCAACTCTCAAATTCAAACTCAAAACACAAAACACACAAAATCCACACAATGCTGAGCTTGCGCTGAGGCTGCTCAATAAATAGTAAGGGGATTTCCGCAGCTGGAAAAGACTCCAGCTAAAATACTAGTTGCATGTTTAGACTTTCCATTAGCAGAGCTGCTCCAAAGGACTCTCTGTCACTCTCTCTCCAAAGGAGTCGCCATCCAATGGTTGCCTCTCCGTTGAATTGCCTTGCTTCCCATTCGGCGCACTTTGAGCCAATTGTTGGTCAATGGCCACAACTAATTGCATTGCCAAAAGCTATTCGCCAACACACTTTGTGGTGGCTCGTGGCTGGTGGCTGGTGGCTGGTGCTGTGGCAACAGCTTAGGTTGGTCCATGGTCTGGTCTGCTCTGCGGATTGGCACACATCGAATGGGTGGCTCTCGGCTAATGGAAATTAAAGAGCGTAACGTTTGATTTTTGGCCCTAGTCCGTGCATTGTCCGTCTCCGTGTCCCGTGTCCGTGTCCCGTGTTTGTGTGCGCTGGAGCTCTAATTAACATGCAACTGTTTTGTCCAATGAATGGGCAATTATACAACAACATGCCCCCCCCCCCCCCTTCCCTTCTCTGCTGCCCCCCCTCCACCTGTTTAGTTGGAAAAACAATTAGGGAAAAAAGTAAAACTGGAAATCGTTGCAGCCCCCTTCCACCCCCCCTCTATTTCCCCTAGCTCTTTTTGGCCGCAACTTCCGCTCGGCTTTTCCGCTTATTAAACACTTTTTTTGGCTCTTGGCTTTAGCTCTGTTATCTTCAGTTCTGTTCTGTTCCCCGTTCTTCTACGCTGCCCATAAAAACCCATCCACAATTGTCACGGAAAGTGCAGTCAACTCGAATTCGTTGTCTGTGTGTGCTTTGGATGTTGTGATTCACCTTTGGGGTGGGTCTCCCTGTGTGTGTGGTGTGTGGTCAGGCGCCAGTCAGCCAACTGCTGCGGGCTTTTGGCCCGAAAGAGTTTCCCAATTGGTTGTTAATTTGTATGCGATTTATTATAATCAATATATCCGATTGTATGAGGCACTTTTGAACGTTGTATTTGGCTTGAATTGGTTGGCTGTCGCTGCTTTGCAATTTAATTCATTTAATTGCAGTTTTCTGGGACCCTATCCCCTTGGAGCCACCTGCCTTGCCGTACAGTTGTGTTGCACACTATACCATTGGGCATTATTTCCCCATATTTGTCTCTCCATCAACCATATACCCAGACCCCATACCCCATACCCCATACCACTCCTCGCATGCAAGGGCTTCTTCTCCTATGCACTCACTTTTACCTGAATGATGAACTCACAGCTCACAGTGAGTGCCCTTCCCGCTACCCCTTGTTGTCGGGCCACTTTAGCCAGTTGACAAGTGTTAATTGTGCCGATTCCCAATTCGATTCCAGGTATCGCATGTCTATATAAAGTATAGCCCCCCCCCAGCCATATGTTTGCATTTATACATCAGCATTTATTTTTGTGAACTGCTGCCTGCTGCCTGCTGCTGCCTGCTGCTCTTGGCCAAACAATTGTAATTGGCAGAGGCAGCGGCAACAAAAGCAAAAGCAAAAGCAAAAGTGAAATGAAATGAATAAAAAAATTAAAAAGGCGTTTACAGAGCCAAGTGTCTCGGCCATATGTCGCAGATGGCGTCATTCGGTGTCGTTCGTGTCGGCTCTTGGTTGGGTCTTGGTATCGCTTTGGGATTGGACCTGAACCTGGAGTCGAGTTCTATGCGGAGCGACTTCATTTTCAAGGCGTCAGCAGTTGTCACAGTGGCAGCAACATTAGACCGTAGCGCTGACCGTTGCACATGCAATTTGATGTGGCAGCATACAGCATACAGCGATGCATGTGAGTGTGTACTGCTGCATTGGAACTCGTATCGGTTGCTGGGATATGGCTACAGCCATACAGCAGCTGAAGGAGGCGGAGAACTTTGGGCTCCAAGTCGGAGACGGAGTCTGGACCGGTTTTGTGGCGAAACGAAACTTTCGATCGGGGCCGCAAATGAGGTCGAGAGCCAAAAGACCCAAAAGCGAAAGTCCATGCCAAAACTCTGTTCTTCGGGCAGTTTTCTGTTTTCTGTTTAGACATTTTTGAGGGTGTGCCAAAAACCTGTCGCAGCGCTTGCTATCGATCCAATGGACTCTCCCGGCTACCCTTTCCGATCAGCGACAGTTATCCATCAGCACGTGCCCTGCCCCTGCCCCTGCCCCAGTCGAAGTCCGAGTTCAAATCGATATCTGCGGCTTAGGTTTTGATTTCCCTGCAGGGAGGGGGCGCTGACGCTGACGCTTCGCTTTTGTTTTCATTTGCTTCTTTTCGCACTTCCGTTCTACGACGTCAACGTCTTTTGGGGCACTTCCCCTTTCGACGCTGACTCAGGGAAACAGTCCATCCTCCCCTCCCCTCTCCGCAAATGGCAAACCTTGAGGCCGCCTCCTCGACTCCAGCGAACTGACCTCAGCAATTTATTCCCAAAATTCCAAAACCCTACAGTGAAATGCCCAACTGAAACGCAACGAAACCCAATCGGAGCGAGCGCAGGGAGCAACATGATCAAGTTTCGGTACAAGCGAAAGGAGCCCACCAATGTGGTGGCACAGGGCTGCGCTGGAGCAGCAGCAGTGCCGGCATCACCCCAGTCCATAGCAGCCCCCTCAGCCAGCATAGCCACAACGCTGCAGCATCAGCAGCTGAACCAGCTGATGGGCAGCAATGGCGGCGGCACCCTGCCCCGCAGCAGTCCGCGCAAGCTGATGATGATGGAGGCGGGCGAGGGTGGCCACAAGGCGGCCACACTGACGCGCCAGAGCAAGCAGAAGGCGTCGGTGAGTGCTCTGGCCAAGGTGGCCAGCAGCGTGGAGCTGGCGGTGCTCGGCTACAACAACAACAACAACCACAGCCCCTCGAATGGCGGAGGAATCAGCAATGGAATCGCGGAAAGAGATCGCTGCATCAATGCGGTCATTGTAAGTCCGGGAATAGATTAAGAACTGACCTGGGGAACCGCTTAGCAATGCCCAACTGATCCACTCTGAACCCTGCTATAATCGTACTTTTCCTCCCTTTTTTCCACCCCCTTCCGCCAAACAGGAACTCTTCCAGCAGCTGCAGACCAGCTCGGAGCCCGCACTCTGTCCGGAACCCTTGCGGCGAGCCTTGGCCAGTGGACCCCTGGCCGGACGACGATTTCCGCTGGGCTGCCTGGGCGATGCTGCCGAATGCTTTGAGCTGCTGCTGCATCGCGTCCACTCGCACATCTCGTCCGATGATGGGGACTCGTGCGAGTCGAGTGCCTGCATTGCCCATCGCCGCTTTGCCATGCGCGTCATCGAGCAGAGTGTCTGCAAGTGTGGGGCCAACTCCGAGCAGCTTCCCTTCACGCAGGTGAGTCTCAGTCTCAGCACCCCTCCAACTGTACAGGTGGCAGGTTAACGGTGCAAGTCCAAGTCGCAGCTATTCCACCTCCAACGCGGCGATCAGTGATCGAATCACAGTTACAGAGCTCTGACGTGGGTCTCACAGCATTGGGAACACCTGCAGACAGCAGACTGCTGCTGTTTCTGCTGCTGCTGCTGCAGTTGCACTTGCACCGTCTGCTCTGCTGTCGATCTGTGTAACAGTTAAACGATCGTTTGCCGATCGCAGTTGATCGCTGGCGATGGCAGCAAACGGGTTTGGGCCATGGAGATTGCAGATTGTGGATTGTGGATTGTAGTAGCCGCTGAACCAGTTTACGCGCGAGACTGAGTGAGGTGACACCTACCAGCCAGCGTAGAATCCAACCCTTAAAAGGTGCAGCTCAGTGATCGAGTGATCTGCGATCTGCGTTCTGCGTTCTGTGGCTTACGTCAGCACGTGCCGCAGAGATGGTGGGAGTCGCACTTCCGCCTTGACCATAAACCAATCCACTTCTATGCCGACGATGCTGACTCGATTCTTGTCCTCCTCAGATGGTGCACTATGTGTCCGCCTCGGCCCTTACATCGCAGAAGAGCCTGGCCCTGCAGAGCCACCAGCAGCTGAGCTTTGGCCAGCTGCTGAGAGCTGCCGGCAACATGGGCGACATACGCGACTGTCCGGTAAGTAAACCCACACTAGATATTATCCACAGACACAGCCCACTCATCAGCCATCCATCCATAGAACACCTGTGGAGCCAAGATCGGGATACGCCGAGCGCTGCTCAATCGTCCCGATGTCGTCTCCATTGGCATCGTTTGGGACTCGGAACGACCCGCCGCCGACCAGGTGCATGCCGTGCTCAAGGCGGTCGGAACGAGTCTGCGCCTGGCGGACGTCTTCCATCAGGTCAGCGAGCAGCGCTGGGCCCAGCAGGCGCAGCACGAGCTGGTGGGGATCGTCTCCTACTACGGCAAGCACTACACCACCTTCTTCTTCCACACCAAGCTGAAGGTGTGGGTGTACTTCGACGACGCCAACGTCAAGGAGGTGGGTCCCAGCTGGGACGGAGTGGTGGACAAGTGCAGTCGCGGCCGCTACCAGCCGCTGCTGCTGCTGTACGCGGTGCCCCAGCCGCCCAGCTCCGCGGCGGGCATGGATCAGCTGCCCGTCGCCGGATCGCTGCCCTCGCCGGCTGCCTCAATGACGGCGGCGGGACTGGCCGCGACGGTGGTGCGCCGGGCGGTGACACCCAGCCCGGAGAAGCCCTCGCTGGGCAGCACTCGACGGGCCATTACGCCCACGCCCCTGCGCACGCCCACCAATGACTACCAGAATCTGAGTGTCATCCAGAAGAGCATTTTCCCCATCCCATGCCCATGCCCATGCCGATGGCCATGCCCATGTCGAATGGGGCGGGCACCGATGAGACGGATGCCTACATCAGCCGCAAGACGGTGGAGCACGTGCTGAGCGCACAGTACCAGAACCTGAGCGTCATCCAGGACAAGATCAACGCCGTGCCCGGCTCGGTGGCCACGTCCAATGCCGACAAGGATGGGGGCTTCCTCAATCGGAAGCCCATCGAGGCGATGCTGAGCGCCCAGCTGGCGCGCCGGCAGCACCTCCAGCTGCAGCGCAGCCACAGCGCCGAGTCGAGCTCCGGCCACGCCTCCAATGGCAGCTCGCCGCCCAGCGACGGGCTGACCATGCCCGAGCACCTGAACCAGCCCCGGAGACGGGACTCGGGCAACTGGTCGGGGGATCGCAACAGCGCCAGCTCGGCCAGCTCCACCACCCTGGACAATCCCTACCTGTACATGGTGGCCAAGCGGGGCGTGGCGGCGGTGCCGCAGAGCCCCACGCGGCACGGCCTGCCCTACGATCCCGGCTACGACTCGTTCTCGCTGAGCTCCACGGACTCCTATCCGCCCAAGCACATCCTCAATCCGCAGCTGGCCAAGATACCCGAGGCAGCCATGGGAATGGGAATGGGCATGGGCATGGGCATGGGCGCCGGAGTCGGAGTTGGGGCGGGAAACGTTCAAGGAGCAGGAGTCGGAGTCGGAGCAGGAGTCCCAGTCGGACATGGCCTGGCCCTGTCCGGGGACTGTGAGAAGCTCTGCCACGAGGCGGACCAGCTGCTGGAGAAGTCGCGCATCGTGGAGGAGTCGCACGACCTGGAGACGGCCCTGGTGCTGTGCAATGCGGCCGCCGGCCGGGCCCGGGCCGCCATGGATGCGCCCTACAGCAACCCGCACACGATGACCTTTGCCCGGATGAAGCACAACACGTGCGTGATGCGGGCCCGCAGCCTGCACCGGCGCATCCTCGTGGAGAAGGGCGCCGAATCGGAGGCCATGCCCGAGCTGAAGCACATGCGGGAGGGCAGCACCAGCAGCGTGAAGCACGTCCGCCAGAACAGCAAGGACCGCACCCTGGAGAAGGAGCAGCTCCAGATGCAGCTCCAGCTGCAGCAGCAGCTGCAGCAGCAGCTCGTGCCAAGCGCCGTCTCCAAGAACATCGAGATCTACGCGACGCTGCCCAAGCGAAAGAGCCCGCTCAAGGCGCTGGCCGCTGCCGCCTCTGGCTCTGGTTCAGTGGGCATGGATGACAATGCCATCGAGTACGAGCAGCAGGTGGTGGCCAGCAGCAGCAGTCCGGCCAGCAGCCAGAAGCCGGAGCGGGAGCGGGAGAGCCGCTCGCTGTTCGGGCGCAAGGACAAGGACAAAGACAAGGAGAAGGAGAAGCGCAGCCGGAGCGAGGACCGGAACAAGCTCACCAGGGAGTTCTCGCTGACGGAGACGCTGCTGGTCAATGCCAAGGACACGCTGAAGAAGCACAAGGAGGACAAGGACGAGAAGAAGGAGAAGGACAAGAGCGGCAAGAAGCAGCACAAGATACGCCGCAAGCTGCTCATGGGCGGCCTCATCCGCCGCAAGAACCGCTCCATGCCCGATCTGACCGAGGCCGTGGACGACGCCGCAGCGCCGATCAGCGGCCCAGCCCATCATCACCATCACCTGCAGCTGCACCATCCCTGCGCCCCGACCGCTGGCCACCTCATGGGCAGCTCCGTGGACGACAGCGCCGTGGGCCTGGGCAAGCACGCCCTGGCCATGAGCGGCTACATCTCCGAGGGTCACTTTGACTATCCGCTGGGCACTGGGCCGTGCACCAGTAATGTGGGAGTGGGCAGTGGGAGCGGCAGCAATCCCAATCCCAATCTGGAGCGAAGCAAACTGATGCGGAAGAGCTTCCACGGCAGTGGCCGCCAGCTGACCATGCCCGTGCCCAAGGTGGCACCGCCGCCGCCCATGCGCACCAGCTCCGCCCTGACGCCCCACCAGCAGCAGCAGCAACAGCAGCAGCAATTCCATCACGAGGCCAATCTGTCGAACCTCTCCGCCATGAGCTCAAACACCTCGATCAGTGAGGACTCCTGCCAGACGATCATCACGACCTGTGCCCAGGTGCACTCCGAGCAGAGCCCGCTCAAGGACATGCAAATGCTGGGCATGGCCCAGGGCCAGGAGGAGCTGCCGCTGCCGCTGCCGCCGATGGAGCTGCCGCCGTACCCGAGTCCGCCGCACTCCGTTTGCCACTCGCGGCAGGCCAGCGAGGACTTCCCGCCACCGCCGCCACCCGAGCTCGATCTGGAGCCGCTGAACCAGCAGCTCAGCCAGCTGCAGCAGCTGGAGGCGGCCAACAAGCAGCAGCGCCAGCAGCAACTCGACTCACTGGAGGGCACCACCAGCATCCTGGCCCAGCTGCAGCAGCGCCAGCATCTGCTCAAGCTGCGCAAGGAGCAGACGGGAGCCGGCAGCGACGCCACCTGGCTGAAGGAGCTGCAGGCCAAGCAGGCCGCCGATCTGCGCACGATGCAGCGCAAGCTGGAGGCCTCCTCACCCAGCAGCGTGCGCGATCTGGCGCACCGCTTCGAGCAGACGGCCACCATTCGGTCGTACGCGTCGCAGGAGCTCCTGGCCCAGCCACGCACCCAGATGAACGGCCTGCCCAGCCAGGCGAAGCTCGACGCTGATGAGGTTGACTGTGCGGGCCCAGTGCGTGCCTCTCTCCCGCTGCCACTGCCGCTGCCTCATCAGCTGATGCTGCCCAAGCCCAAGTACGAGATGTCGCAGTCGCAGATCGCCGAGGAGATCCGCGAGGTGGAGCTGCTCAACTCGATGGTGCAGCAGACGCTCAACCAGAGTGCCGCCGCTGGAGCCCCACCCAAGCGGGTGAAGAAGAAGAGCGTGTCGTTCTGCGACCAGGTGATCCTGGTGGCAACGGCCGGCAATGAAGAGGACGACGACTTCATACCCAACCCGATACTGGAGCGCGTACTGCGCACCGCACAGCACCCGAACGAGAAGGTAACGGCCCAGATGATCCAGCAGCAGCAGCAGAACATGCTCCGACTGCAGACGGAGCCGCAGCCCCGACAACAGCACCAGCAGCAGCAGCAGCAGCAACAGCAGCAGCAGCAGCAACAGCAGCAGCAGCAGCAACAGCAGCAGCAACAATTGCAGCTTCAACATCAACAGCAGCAGCAGCAGCCTTCTCCCATGCTGGGAAGACCAGCGGCAACGGATATGCAGCGATATGTGCAGAGAATGCAACAACAACAGCAGCAACAACAGCAGCAGCAACAACAGCAGCAGGAGATGTACCGCCAGCAGCAGCAACAGCAGCAGCATCGCACCAGCATGAGTGGCATCGTCAGCCAGCAACACCTGCAACTGCAACAGCAGCAGCAGCAGCAGCAGCAGCAACACCAGATCGATGCACAGTACACCAGCATGCCCCGGCCATTGCATCATCCCCATCTACTGCCACAGACCTACTCAGTGCAGCTGCAGAAACACCAGCAGCACCAGCAACAGCTGCAACAGCAGCACCAACAGCAGCCATCGCCGCAACTGAGCCTGGGATACTTCAGCAATGGCCAGGCAGCGGCCAGCGAGCAAGTGCCACAGCCACAGCCACTGCCTTCGCCTTATCAGCGAGTGCCACTGCCACATGGCTACCAGCCCACAGGCGGACCCTACTACCCTTTGCCAAACCAACAGCAGCAACAGCTGATTATTGCCAATGGAAAACCTGCCCAGAAGAAGGTCAGCTTCGAGCCAGGGACCAAGGGCGAAGCCGACTGCCTGCCACCGCCACCACCGCCGCCACAAACGAAGCTGGCCCTGCAGAATGGTCTGCCCGAGTCGGCCAGCCCAGGAGCTGGCCCTGGCTCGGCACCGGCGGCCATCACAGCCATACCCACCCGCGTCTACAACAATGCCATCGTGAAGGCCTCGGCCAAGGCCGTGGAGTGCAATCTGTGCCGCAAGCGGCACGTCATTGCGCCAGCCGTCTACTGCACCAACTGCGAGTACTATCTGCAGATGCTGAACCAGCGCAGATGATGCACTCCCAGTCCCATGCCCATGCCCATGCCCACTAGCACAGTGGGACCAACCACGATTGTCTCTAGTGTAAACTTTCTAGCCGTACATGGAAACTGTTAATCTCAAGCAATGCAATGCTGCCACGTCGCCCCCTAAGGATCCCCACAGGATGTACATAGATAGGTTGTAGGTGTAAGAATAGGACTGGACGAGGAGGAGGAGGAGGAGGAGGAGAGTGAGGCAGGACAAGCTGGCGGATGAACGTGACTGGAGGAGGTCCCGCACAGTCCTTCTATGGTTCCACATGAGAAGTACCAACTGTGCCCCACCCGACCCATACACTCACACACACACACACACACACACACATCGCAATGTTCCCTGGCACACGCACACAAGCATATACTCGCACATACGCAACAATGCCCCAAATATATACTTGCCCCATGGAAACTAACACCAATTGTCGCTCCACATCGAACATCGATCAATGCATTCCCCACCAAACCACAGACAACCCCAGCCTGGCCGACCACACCCCCCCCCCTCGCTACCACACTAATCGCATAAGTGTTTTATTTTTTTTTGAAGATTATATACCTATATTTTTTATAATTGTATCCGTACATTGATCCATTTTAATTCATATGGTTAGCCACAAGTTTGAAACTCAGTCGCTGAGCTTCCTTTTGCGAGCTGTTGTCCAACGACACTTGCATCTCAATTTTTTTTTTTACTCTATATATTAGATATTATGCATACCATTAAATATTACTTTAAATTATTTCCAGAGCTCTATATACATATATATTTTTTTTAATCTTCTTACTTAAATAGCAGCGAGAAAGCGATTTATTTAGAGTATATTTTTTTTTGCATTTGAACGATGATTTTGTGTATTTATAGTTCTTAAGTCGCTTAAGTCTTAATATAACTACATTAAATAAATGATTTTTTTTATAAACAATTTCTCCCTGCAGAAAACGAGTAACGACAAATGAGAAAAGAGATGTCTAGCATCCACAAAAAGAATGCTAAAGAATTATTTTTTCTAAAAATAAACATACTTAATAAATATAAATTAAAACGAGTTTTCTTGTTCGGTTTGTGGACTTTATTTCTAATATTTTAGTTAGAAAATTTTACATTTTTTTAATTTGAAATGTAACATGGCGAATAGTGATCAATATCGATAGACAAGCAGCTGATAACGCTGCAGGGGGACTTTGGGAAGCTCCACAAACAATCAGGGAACAGGAAGAATTTATCAGCAGTCACTACAAGAAGTAGTACTACAATCAGGGTTAGGAAAAGGGAAAAAGTAAAACCGAATGCGCGATCCACGACAGAACTCATCGGACAACCAACAAGAGAAGCAAAACTGCAGTACAACCCTCATAAAGATTATGATATAGTACAGATAATATATATATATATTTATTATCATACATTTGCATACAATTTTTAATCGAAATTGGATAATCTGGAATCGGCAGGAAGATGTTGGCCGATGTGGACTCGGGTCCAGAGCTAGAGGAAGATGAAGAGGATGTGGCGGATTAACAGAGAATGGAATTTAAGCGGCAGTCGTTGAGACGTATATATATTACGTCTCAACGTATATATATATATATAATATATAATATAATAACAATAATATAATAATACATGACCCCCCCCCCCTCCTGCAGTATGTAATGTTGTGTATTGGGTGTATGGCACATTATTGAGACAGCATGATATTTTGGATATGCAAGGCAATCTCCTGCTCATCCAGAATACGAAACTCCGGATGATCCTTGCTCACGAGGCCCACTTCCAAGTGCAGTGGCTCAAACGCAATATCCATGGCAGTGCACAGGCAATTAATGGCCAGCTGGATGGTCTGCTCCTGCGGCAAATAGTGCTTGTAGTGCTTTACCAGGTACGCTTCGGCCTTGTCAGCGTGCGGCCCCAGCGCACAGCCCTTGTAGCTGTTGAAGTCCCCAGAGGGATCTGTCATGTGCAGCGTGGGTTCGTTTTCGTCGTAGTCGATCATAATCATGCTGCAGCCGAGCGGACGGATTTCGGGATGCATCGAGTACAGCTGATTCATGTCCGCAATGCGTTCGCACAGCGCCCGTGCCGGTATATCGTAGCCGCATGCGTATCGGAATTTTGTGGCCTCGTTAAGGGCCCACCGCACTTGATAGCGCGAGTCGGCGATGCGACCGGTCATGCAGCAGCCAATCTTTGGGGTGGTGGCCCACAAATGCCTCACCGACTGCAGTACGATGGTCTTGTCGGCAATTCGCTTCTGGGTGGCCAAAACTGCCGTGTGTTCAGTCTTCAGGGCCACTGTGGTGTTCTCCAAGGCCACGGCTTTCTTGGCAAAGTCAATCTGATGTAAATCGCCCGATGGCGAGAAGATGGTGATCTGCTCATCAAGTCCTGCTGTCAAACGCGGCATTTTTGGAAGCCTCAACAATTTGAAAACTTCTACAAATATGTTCGTTAAGTGTTGCATTAAATGGAAACTCATGTATTCTTACTTCAGCTGCCAAAGTGAAGATTAGTTGAACAGTTTTGAACGGTAATATCACAATGCCAAGACCTTTATTTTTAATGCTTACGGCTCCACTGAGTAGGATGCTCTGTTGTCAAGGTGCTAATTAAAACTATGCACACTACGTTTTAAAAAAATGTATTTTTGATAATATTCAAAATATTCGACATGACATCCGCATGCATAAAAAATAATGCAGAAAGCATATTTATTATTATCCCGCACGAAAAGAGCTTAAAGCCCGAAGGTTTTTTAAAACGAGAGGGATATACACGGCTACACAGATACACGGATATACACGGCACTCAGTTAGAAAGTACATATATAAATATGCATGTGAGCTAATGATTTTTGTACAATTTTAAAATATTCGATCTTTTTACGGCGTTTCAGCTCTATTTGTTTTGAGGGCTGATGTAGCGACCTGAGCAGACCTGGCGCAACATAAATGAGGAATGGGCAGAATGGGTGGGGCTGGAAAATAAATACAATACATAAAAATAAAAAATATTATTTGTTTGATTTATTTGAAATGGCACATTTACATATGTACATATGTATGTACATATGTACACTGACGAGCAAAACTGTAACACTAATTCAGTACTCTCACTTTAACAATCTGTATCTTGTCTTCTGTTTTAGTCATGCTAAAGATATAAGTCTTGTTTTTTTGGTGAATCATTTAACTAAGTTTTTTTTTAATTTGAAGTTATTTGATACGCCGGAAGAAATATGCCAACCAAAAATGTAAGTAAAGTCAAATGTTGCAGTTTTGCACGCGGCTATATTTAAGGAACATATTTTTGGCAGCGAGCATTTAAAATTTTTTTCCTTTCATATCAGTTAGCTTTTGTCAGAGAGCATTTACAATTTTTCGCTCGTATAAGTCAGCTTTTGTCAGTGAGCAATTCTAATTTTTCGTTTCATATCAGTCAGCTTTTGTCAGCGAACAATTATAATTTTTCGTTTCATATTAGTCAGCTTTTGTCAGCGAGCAATTACAATTTTTAGTTTTATATCAATCAGCTTTTGTCAGCAAGCATTTAAAAATTTTCCTTTCATATCAGTCAGCTTTTGTCAGAGAACATTTACAATTTTTCGTTTCATATCAGCCAGCTTTTGTCAGTGAGCAATTCCAAATTTTCGTTTCATATCAGTCAGCTTTTGTCAGCGAACAATTATAATTTTTCGTTTCATATTAGTCAGCTTTTGTCAGCAAGCATTTAAAATTTGTTCCTTTCATATCAGTCAGCTTTTGTCAGAGAGCATTTACAATTTTTCGTTTCATATCAGCCAGCTTTTGTCAGTGAGCAATTCCAAATTTTCGTTTCATATCAGTCAGCTTTTGTCAGCGAACAATTATAATTTTTCGTTTCATATTAGTCAGCTTTTGTCAGCAAGCATTTAAAATTTGTTCCTTTCATATCAGTCAGCTTTTGTCAGAGAGCATTTACAAATTTTCGTTTCATATCAGCCAGCTTTTGTCAGTGAGCAATTCCAAATTTTCGTTTCATATCAGTCAGCTTTTGTCAGCGAACAATAATAATTTTTCGTTTCATATTAGTCAGCTTTTGTCAGCAAGCATTTAAAATTTTTCCTTTCATATCAGTCAGCTTTTGTCAGAGAGCATTTTTATTTTTCGTTTCATATCAGTCAGCTTTTGTCAGTGAGCAATTCCAAATTTTCGTTTCATATCAGTCAGCTTTTGTCAGCAAGCAATTATAATTTTTTTTCGTTTCATTCTAGTCAGCTTTTGTCAGCGAACAATTATAATTTTTCGGATTTTCAGACGTTAATCCATTGTGTTGCCTGCCTGCCAGCTTTCTCGTCCTGGCAGTGGCTCATCCATAGAGCAAGACCAGCATTTGTTTGTTTTTCCAAAGCTATGTATATTCCAGTAGAGGCGGTGTATTGTTTGCCGGATCAAACAAAACCGGAACAGCTGTTTATGCATATTTCTCCTGGATTAGCTGCGGGGCTTTCCGAACTCCTCCTTGGCTAGTAGTGCCTGTATATTCGGTCCCTGTCGGATTACAATCGATTTGTTCTATCGTTAATTTATAGCCTGACATTTTTTGAGAGCTACTGGGTTTTTCCCAGTAAGTTGTTTCTCAGCGTTGATAACAGCTTTTTTATTAGAATTTTACTTTGGACTCGGTGTTTTATATAATCCATTAATGTGTTCGTGCATTTATTGATACATTGAATCACTGGTAACACTTTTTTGGCTCGTTTTTTTCCACTGAACAGCGAGCACCAATTCCCCAAGAAATATTAAGTAACTTTGCCACTTGAGGAGGATATAAAGGAACAAGTGACTTACAGTCTTAGCATAGTACTATTTATTTTTGATTCTGCTTGCATTGGTATGTTTGTTTCCGAAACTTAAATTGAATGTAAAGTAGGCGTCTATAAATAATTTCGTGCTACCCTGTACGGTGCTCTCCTACAGAGCTCAGTATCGCCTTAACAAGGATAGCAGTAAGTTTAAAATCGAAAAAAAATACAAAAATTATTTATTTATAAGAAAATATAACTTCTAATACAAAATTTCTATTACTACATTATTTTTCAGTTACTTACTATGGAGATTTTTCAACGAATTGCAATTTTCTTTTTTCCACCGCCAGCCCGGGGGCCAACAAATGTCGTAATAATTGAAAGAATAATAAAAGATATTTGGTACTATCTCCGACCGATACCGTTAGCCCCTATTTATATGTTTGGTGATACCATCTTCACGAATATCGTCCATATTCCGTCCTTTGTGATGGCGTTCGCTTCTCCTTTTCTTATGGGAGTCTATGCTATGGATCTAATGAATATGGGAGAACGGCGTTACGATTTGGATAATATGCTACAATGGATGCAGAATGAGGAGGAGGACGGGGCGGAGGAAGAGGAGGAGGAAGGCGACTTTGAAGATGAAGCAGGTGAAATAGCTGAGCTGCGGGATGCTCTGAACGAACTTTTGCTTGTCGCAGTCCTTTAATTAGTTTAATTTTTAGTGTTAAGGTGGACAATAATTTGTAATGAATGAACTTTTTTCGTTTTCAATCGTTTAATTCTAATTGATCTTAAGTAGAGCGGAACAAAAAACAGTTACGGAAATATGGAAACAGATTTGTATCTAATTAACATTTGAAAAATTAAGAGAGTTCGAGATCAATTGGTAAGTCTCACAAAAATGTTAAGTGGATAGATTCTGTTACGATGTTTTTATCGAAGTCTCTTAATTATCACAAGTATCAGGAAGGTCGCTACTTTTTTTTTAATTAATCACCGCTTTAAATCAATGAGTATATTGAGCATAGACCAGTACTTTGAATTATTTTAGATCTTGATAGGTCAATCGGTCTACAGAAAATATTCTACAATGGTAACTTGAATCAATCGAGTTTTTGGAAAACAATTTTTATAAACAGTTTTTTAAAAGCATTTGATAAATAAAGTTTGGTTTTTTTCTTGAATTATTTCTTATCCAACTCTATAAATGGTTTGTTTTATTGATTAATTTTCTGTTTGCAATGTACATTTATGTATGGGTATGTTTGTATGTATATCTTAAGATATTATGTATACCCTTTAATGGAAGTTAAACTCTTTTCAAATGCCTCTTTTCGAATACATATGGGATTAATTTTTGTTTACTCGGATTTTGTTACCGGTTGTCAGTCAATAGGTTGTCTAATAACTTTTGTGTATGTATTCTATATCTATTATAATGACAAAAGAAAAGATTGTGAAATTTCGTAGTTCCTTCATAGGTGGCTTCTTATATCAACAGCATAGCGATTCATGTACGCTTTTATTTATCGAAAGTATTTCACATTTTGCGGCTATTAATGTTTGTAAATGCGACACAAAACCGAAGCGAGTTACGCGCGGATCCCAGGCAGAAACGCGGCCCCTCCTCCCGCCCAACCGACCGAGGGGCGCTGTCGCATGACGCACGACGCGGATAACCGAACCGGTCGCGAACAAGCAGGAAATATAGGTGTTAGACTGATATTCGAGGAAAATTAGTGCCAAAAATGCTAAATTACCAAAAAAGAAAAATTCATATTATGGTAAATTCTTTTAAAAATAACAATTATCGAATTACCGAAGTTCTTATGGTATATTTATTTATTCGGCTCTCCTGGAGTGGTTCCATTCAATGCTGCTACCTTCCCATTTGGTTTCTCCAGCGATGATTGCAATTTCGTGTGAGAGGCCCCCGCACTCTTCTGTGGCCCAACCCAAATGAAACAATTTAATTATAGTTTTACACAGGACATTTAATTTTGCGACTCCAATTAAATAAGTTTTTGCTGCACAGGAAACTACACACACATGCAACATCGCCCGCACACAGATTTGTAGTCTCCTGTTTCGACTTGTCGCGTCCTTACCGATTCTCAAAGAAACACACAAAAATTGCAAAGGAATATTTGCAGCCTTCTGCGACAGCAAAAACAACAAACATATTTGTTTCTTTGCCAATCAGTGAGGACGTATAACGTAGCCAGAATAAATATATTTGTTTCTTTGCCAATCAATGAGGATGCATAAACGCATACTCTATTCGTTATACAGAAAAAACACATTTGTTCTGGTATTTTTTTTTTTTTCGGTTCAGACGTATAACAGAATACAGCGACGTATAACGTTATACAGAAAAACCACAAAATATTATTTTTTATTTTTTTTTTGTTATGTTGCTCAGACGTATAACGTTTCCATTTTTCACATATATTTTTTTTCGCGGTTTTCTGTCGTCGCGTATAACGGTGCTTTTTTTGACTTGCTTGTTTTTTTATTGGAAATGTTTTTTTTTTCTTACTTAAAACTATTTGTATATATTTTTTTTGTTTGGATTTTTCCTTTTTTCTGAGTTTCGTATAACGGTGCTGCAAAGTCATTTATTTGGCAATGTTTTTTTTCATTTCCATTTTCGAATTCACGGCGCGCTCACGCTTACCGGTTTTTTTTTTATTGTTTTATTTTTTTTTTATCGTTATACGTAAATTCGAAATTCTCTGTTTCGGAAAACGTTTCAAGACCACGCAACGCTTCGACGCGTTTTCCGAAACCCGAACGATTGTGTATATGAAAGTTTAACTGTGTGTGAGAGTGATATTGAAGCTCGATTAGTGTGGGGGACTGTCGTATGGATTGCAGGAGTGTTAATTGTGAGTAAAAGTACACACATATGTAAATGGGGAACTGGAAACTTGGGCTTAAGTAGGAGCACACAATGGACGACAGTCTGGACAGAGCAAAGCTGGTAGATATAAATGGTGGAAATTGGGAGGAGCGGGGTGGGTTATCAAATAGACAAAACAAACAGAAAGAGTAACTGGTATCCTCCAGGCAGAACCTGAAAGTTTTACAAATCGTTTGGTTAGCGGAATCTTCTCTGAGATGTGGCAGAGCTTCTTGGCTGTGGCCGGCTGATGGATGGATGGACGGGATCGATCCGGTCCGGTATGTGAAAATCTTGGGTTCTTTCCGTTGGATCTGCTTCCATATCAAATTCAGGCGGGAGAACAGAGCCCAAACTAAACCATTTAGCTGCAGGACATTTCGCCTAACCACACACAAATTTGGAAAATCTTAAAGATCTTGTCTAAGCAAGTCACCAAATAATGAGTGCATTTTTTGTTTTAAATGGGTTCTAATATTCAAATATTTGTGAAACATTTCGCTTGGGGTCTTCGCCGGCCACTATCTGAAGGATTTGCATTACCTTTGGTTAGTGTTCACACGATTTGTCATAAGTCATAAGTTTATTTCTTCATTATCAGCATAGAATGTGACGGTTGCCTTGGCAAACCAACTGCAGGTCGAACGATTGACCAACAAGGGTTTTTTTTTTGTATTTTTTTTTTGTATACATTTTTCATTCTTTTGCTCATAATGAGATCTTTTATTAAAGATCGTATAAAGCTTCAATACATTTTGTATTATTTTTTCTTATGACAAATCGTATAACGTTTCAGCAACATTTTTTTTTTGCTTTTTATTTGATTTGTTGGTTCTCCCCTTTTTCTTTTTCTTTTTTCTTTTCTTTTTTTTTTTTTTTTTTTTTATATTTTATATTATATAATTTATTAGTTAATTGGCTTGTGCAATCTTCTGTGATAGGGACCGGCTGGATCCAAGGAGTGTGGGTAGTCAAGGAAATCAAATGAAAATTTTTTGCCTCATAATGGTCTTTGCATAGACCATTATGGATGCAATGAAAATCGACTAATTCTGGATGTTTGATTTTAATGGAATTTTGGTGGCTTATCTGGGCGTTTGAGTTGTGATTGGAGCAACTTTAGGGGAATGTCCTGCAGCCGTGCGAATAGTTCTCCGAGTTCCGAACTCCTTGTGAATCTATGCAGTGGCAGCTTCTTCTCGGCGTTATTCTTGTTGGCTTTTTGTGGCACAGCAACACAGATCCAGCGACTTGGCTACACTAGCACTAATCTGTAGAAATACCTATTGTCTACGATCCCCGCACCCTGGTCAGCCCCCGTCCCCTGTGGCTACCAAGCAGCAGCCCTTTCCGGGCGAACAGAAATCATCAGTTGAGACCCGGCAAATTTAACTCTGACAATATTCAGATATGGGCCATGGATGCGGCTTGATGAGGTGAGGAGGTTTGAACGTTACGATGACACTTGCTAGTTTATACGATTAATCTTGATCCCTGATTGGCGGGGATGTGTTATAGCACAGCACCTGCCTGGGCAGAGTGCAGTGTTTGTTGTGGTTGTGGTTATGTTGAAAGCCTATCGCCCCTGGCAGCTATCCCGATCTCTACGTTTTGACAGGCCGTCGTCGTGCCTGCGTGCGTGCGTGTGTGCGGCGTGTACGTGTGTGGGGAGGTGAGCGCGCCCACTGTTATACACATCAGGGATGCGTTAGCTTTCTTGCGGGATGTGGTTATATTGCGTTACCGCTCTTATTGGGGGCTGTGCAAACTGCTCTATGGCCGTCCTGCTCTGCCGCTTTCGATGAAATCGTTTGGCCGACGCGACACGAGCTGCTATCCTTGTCATTTCTATGACCAATCATGAAAGAGAGGAGCGTACTCTCTTGGTCCCTCATATATATATATATGTGTCTCATATATGTATTGCTATCCCAGTCGCTTTCACGTAATGCCACACGAGTGCTTGCACCGCTTGGTAGAAGTATGTGGTTACGCTTCGTCCCGCACCGTGTTCGCGTGTATCCCGTGTGGCACCAAGTGAACGCTTTCCATTCCATATCGTTTGCCTCTCGCTCGCGTCGGTCAAACTCTTCCACCGCCAGCGGTACTGTTCGGTTCTGTTGGGGGCCATCCCGTGCAGTTGCAAGCATTTGTTATAAGGCAGCGCTTACCAGCCGTCACACCGCCGGTGCGCACCACCCACGCCGCTGCACTTCGACTCCTGCCGCGCCCGCAACTGCGAGTCGCCCGAAGACGCCGCTGTATTGAGCGCCACCAGGGATGGGCGCCAGAGACCCCGGGCCATGGCCTCCTCAGTTCGATTAGGGCTTGCTTCTTGCTTCTTTTATCGGGTTAATGGTGCGATGGGTTGATGCCAGTGAGAGGGTGATTCTGGCCATGGCCATACCAGAATATTGCAGCACAAACAACACGAAAGATCTAGGATGGGGGCCTGGAAAGTTCCACTGCCATGGCGTCACAACTCGTCCCGTTGCGTGGGTCTCCTTCTGGTACAGTTTCACTGAGCTCACTAGATCCCCACTTCAAAATGAATCTGTCTCTCTGGCAGTTTATATGCTACACGGATTGCACCGATTTCACTCATTTCAATTGAAAAAAAAACGCACTGGTCCTCAGTCCGTCGAGGTCACTGGAAAAAAATTGAACAAAAAAAACTTTTTTCACTTTTCTGTATCTGTTGTATGGTCTGGATAGTTCCTTACAATGGGTTTCCCTGTGTTCTCCGCTTACGCCATGTCGCTGGCTAGAGCACTTTTAATGGACTGATGCACCACTCGGTGCTGGACTCGGGCTGGTAGCCTCGGTCTCGATAGCCTAGGCCACGCCACGCCATTGTCGGGACAGGTAGGTGCACATTCGCTTCGGATCCCATCCCCTAAGCCGGGGGTCGTCGTCGTCGGCTTGTGTTCCCAGGGGTTCGTTCGGGGCCTCTTTTCGGCGACGGACCGAACCCTCCATCCACTCCACTCCACCTCTTTTGTGCAGTTGCTGGCAGCTGGCTCGGGTCAGGGCCTTTTCTTCGCACTCGAGTAGTTTTCTTCGCCTTCATTTGAGGCTTCGCTCATTCGTTTAACTGCCAAATGGATTTTTTCTCTACTCTTGTAATTTTTGCTGCTGGCAATGCTGTCACATTGCAACGTGACGCAGACATTCCATTCAACTAGAATTTTCTTCCACTTTAAAGCTGCACTTGAGAGCACTCAATGAGTTAATTAACTGGCTCGTTGATTGCTGACTTGGATTATGCCCGAAACTGAATTAATTTCTGCACAAAACGTGTTCACAAATTTTGCTGACCCTTTTGTCACTGCCTTTGCCTATTCTAGGGATGATACATACATATGTATGCATATTGATATATCGGTAAATGTACTTTTTTATGTGCTTCGTTTTTTGTTGGCGAAAATATCGTTATGTATATATTTATTGGTTAGTTATTTCAACGGAACAGCTAATTTTCTGAATTAAGACACAATTAACCCGACACACTATTTTTCACTTGTTTCCTTGTTCGCGGCCCGATATAGATTCCATTGACACGAAGCACAGAGTCCCCATTATGGCCGCAGTGGCGTTGCCACATGTTGCCGCCACGAACAGAGTGTATTGAAACAAGGTGTAGCACAATGACCCGTCACAGCACAGTGGTCCGAAAGTCATTCACAATTTTGAGAGAATACCAAAAACAAAGCAAAGCCATGGAGAATGATCAGAGCAGATCATTGCCATAGCCAGGCTGAAGCAACTAATTTCCCGTCTGACTCGCTCGCTGGGATATAACGGCCGGATGGTAGTTTAGTTAGAAATTGTAAGTTTTAAATTCCCATAAATTTTAAGTCTCTGCCAAAAGATGGGACACAGCTATTGAATGAGTAATTGTGTGACAAGCAAATAATGAAACTCGAACCATCGGAGTACCTTTCCTTTTGACAAATACACCTTGGCAACAGCACTCTGGAGTGGGGGATCGCGCAAACGCCACCTGGTGCTGGCTGCAACCTTCGGGCCCGACTTAGCTTCGTGAGTAGTGCATCGGAACCCAAAACTGGAAGACTTCCATTTGGGCGACGCCCTCATCCAGGCTGCATCCAGGCCCTTAGCTGTAGCACTTCCAACAGATACACACACGGCGGGAAGCCACTGTCGATCGTGCGCACTAAGCACCCAGTCCGTCTAATCCGTCTTCTCTTTCCAGCGAGGTGGCAGCACTGCATGTTAACATTAACAGTAACATAAGCATTAACAGTAACACATTACGGGCGCTCTTAACAGTCGCAGCGAGCGTTAAACTTAATTCAAATTTAAATCGAATCGTAAATATTTATGTACAACAAAAAAATGGGCACAAATAAAGAAAAGTACAGAATAAAAGCGTACGTAACTACAGTAAACTATAAATAAAATACAAAAAGTAAAATAAATACAAGAGCGACGACTAAGACTAAATTCGATTGAGGATTCGCTGAGGATAATGTGGATTAAGTATCGGCCCGATGGCGGCGGGTTCAGGCCTCCGAGAAATCATTATCGTAGGCATTGTTGCGATAGGACCCATAGCCCGGCTCATAGTACATCCCACCCGCAAGGCGCGGACTGCCTGCCTTGTGATTCGACGTGATATCGGACGCTTGGGGCTTGCCCACGCCCACGCCCACAGACTTGTCGAGATCGTCGTCGATCTCGGCTTCCTGTGATTGGTCCTTGTACTGATAGTTGCGGGCCAGCCAAAGGAACAGCACCATGTCCACCAGCATGAGGCAGGCGAAGAGGGCAAATTCGCCCGACTGCGAGCTGGCCAGCTTGAACTCGGCAATAACCACCACGATCATATTGCCGATGGCCACCGACAGCAGCCAGCAGGCCTGCAACACGCTCTTCATGCTCTTCGGCGCTTGGGTGAATGAGAACTCCAGCCCCGTCACCGAGAACATGATCTCCGCCGCCGTCATGGCCACAATCTGCGGCAGCTGCCACAGCATGGACACCGCATTCGGCGCCACCACCTCCAGCAATTTGTAATCCTGCCAGAGAAATATTCGCATAATTATGGTAAAAACAAAGCTCGAATTTCCCTTTCCAAACACTCCGAAAAAAAAACTCACATAGCCAAGCGCTGCATCGCCGTTCACCAACAGGCTGTAGAGTCCTCCGTTCTGGGGCTGAAAGCTGGCGGCCCGCTTCCCATTGATAGCCACCTCGCCATAGCCAACGACGACTCTATGCAGCTGCGAGAGATTACGACTGTCCAGAGAGAGCGGATGGAGCCAGTCGCCCGGACCTTTGAGCATGATGGGGCCCTCGTCCGTTGGTGTGTTAATCAGCGCCCGCAGCTGGGGGGGACTGTTGATGTTGGGGACACTGTCCAGACCGTCCTGGAACTCGTGTAGCCCATTGTCGGCCAGGAAGTAGCTGGTGGCCTTGCCCGGACGCAGATGTAGCCGGCCCTGAATCTTGGCGCATTTGCCCGCCGGATCCTGGGCCGTGAAGGTGTAATCTGCCGGCTCCCGGACGACCAGCGACAGATCGGACCACATGTCCAAGGGGTCGATGCTACGGGAGGATGCGTCTGGGGCTGATGTCCTGGGGCTCACATCGCTGATGAACTCGTAGCGGCAGGGCATTCCATTGTACAGCCTCAAGTGGGCAGTGTGCGGATCGTTGGGCAAGGCGCCGCTGGCGGCCTGTTCCATCTTCATTTCGAGGCCAGCGGAGAGGAAGAAGCCGAGGGCGGCCAGCAGCAGGCCGACAGTGAGCTTCTGCAGTGGCCGCCGCAGGCCGATCTTGGCCAGCAGGGGATAGATTATGTAGTCGAAGAGCGGTATGAAGGCCAGAATGAGCAGGGGATTGACCACCTGCATCTGATCGGGCTTGATCTGGTAGCCCAGCACCTGGCCGTCCATGCGCGTGGCCTGGAAGGTCCAGCGCGATCCCTGCTGGTCGAACAGGGCCCAGAATATGGGGAATGGCAGATACAGGATGAGGATCCTGGCCAGGCTCTTCGTTTCGTGCACCATCTTGGCGCCAACCGTGGGTCGGGCGTAGTCCAGGAAGCTGGGCATCGGCGCGGTCTTGCGCAGCTTGAGCCAACCCTTGAACGCATCCATTAGGCACTGCGAGACGCCAAAGATCATGTTTCCCGCGGGCGCATTAATCTGGTAGCGCCGCTTCCCAGCCACGAATATAACCACGGAGACGATCATGAGAATGGCTGGCACCCCAAAGGCCAGCGAGAAGCAGTCGGTCTCGCCAAAGCAGTGGACATCCGCACGCAGGATTGGGGTCACCGTCGTCGAGATCATGGAGCCCGCATTGATCGCAAAGTAGAAAAGCGAAAAGAACTTGGCCAGCTGCACGGCCTGCTGGGGCAGCACGAACTGATCGCCGCCAAATGCCGAGACGCACGGCTTAATGCCGCCTGTGCCCATGGCGATCAGTGTGAGGCCCACAATGGTCACAGCTCTGACGGATGGAATGGAAAAGACATAGTAAAAAATAGTATTCGATGCTCGAAACTGTACTGTACTCACTTGGTTGGCATGGCGCTTAGCGGAATGGCGCCAAAGGAGACTATCAAGGCCCCCAGACTGTACACCATCGAGAGGTACAATATGGTCTTGTACTTGCCCAGCCAGCCATCGGCGATGAGAGCACCGATCAGTGGGAAGATGTACACCAGCATGGTGAAGACGTGGAAGAGCACCGTCGATGTCTCCTCGTTGTAGCCCAGCTTATTGGTGAGGTACAGCACCAGAATTGCTGCAAATATATATGTACATATATTGAAAATAGTTTTGGTAGATTCCTACCAAGAGAAGATAGATAGATACTCACTGCGCATGCCATAGTAGTTGAAGCGTTCGCAGAACTCATTGCTGATGATGAAGGCCACCGACCTGGGATACGCTACGAGTTCCTAGTCCAAGAGAAAGAGCAGTAAACAAACGAAAACAATATCAATCGAATTGCTGGTCACATTTTCTTTATCAGATCTCAGCCCTATCTCTCTGGTCGAGAACCAAGAGTTGCAGAGAACCTTTTTTGCTTATCGATAAGAAAGTTTCGCCTCACTCGCTGACTTGGCAACATTTTTGGGATCCAAGTAAGTAACACGCACACAAGCATACCCTCTAAGCCTCTGCATAATAGAGACAGTTACTAAACAGATTTTCTAGTTCTCCCCGAATGCCATTTGATACGGATGTTCCGGCCTTTATTGTTGTTGTTTCTGATTGTCAAAGCCCTTCAAACTTTCTAACCATTTATTGGATATTTTTAAGCACTTATACAAAGGCCAGGTCACATACATCCCATCCCATCCCATGTTGTTGTTGATCTTTAGATGGGGTTCGGTTCGGTTCGCAGTGAAAGCGCCACTGGGGTGGCGGCGGCCATCACAAATAATTCATTTAATAATGCACAAAATCACTTTGTAACTTCACTTTGAAAGTGATTTGAGCATTGATGGATTTGATCTGATGTGCTGTTGCCATTAGCCCTACCGTTTTGGGGCCCATTGCTGCGCTGCTGCTGGGGTATAATTTTCGGAGTGCAGGCCAGGTGTGTGGATCCCTTGACAGGCGTGTCTCTCGTGATGGCTTTCCTATGTTTATTCTCATGGTAATACGGCTTTAAGTTGTCTCGTTTTTTCGCTAGCCATTTCGGTTTCGTTTGCGTTTGCGTTTGCGCTTTCGATTTTGTTTTGGTTTTCGTTTGCGCGCGTCTCTTGGCCAAGGTGAGCAACGGGTGTGTGCGAACGGGTTTTTTCTTTGGCCCATTGGGGGCTGTTGGCTGTTGGTCCATTGATGTACGGATTAAGAATTCTGCTCACACCACGGCCTAGGCCAAGCCAGCCAGTGCTCGCTTGCGCTCTCTCTCTCTCTCTCTCTGCACCTCTGTACCTCACTCACCTTAGCTGATTTGCAATTCTCGGTGCCAACTGCACGGGTAATAAATGCCATAACAATCTTTATGTAACGACAGCCAGTCAGAGTCAGAGTCGGAGTCTGAGTTTGGGGATCTGGGAATGGATTGCGTCTTCTAGCGACAGTTTGTTGCGACCAACCGATCTTGGTCGTGTGTCGGGTATAGCGTTTGGAATCGAACTAAGAATGTGCTGATGCTGGCCTCGAGCTTTAAAGTTTGATTTGACGGGCGGGCGGGCGCCTCTGCCTCTGCCGTCGCCACTCTCTCTCCTCGGAGCCAGCAACAGTTGTTAGACGTTGAGTTGAGCAAATAAATTAGCAAACAATAAAAAAAAGAAGCTGCCGGGAGTGCTGCTGGGTGTTGGGGGGGCTGTGCAGGGGGCCGCGACTGGGCCAGCGACTGGGCAGATGAGGCAGAGATCATAGCTCCAGCGGATTACAATGGAATAAGAAGAAGTGCCTATCGACACTTCAAGCGATTGTCTGATGTTTGTTTAAGCCGCCAACATACTCCAGGGGCGCTGGGCAAATGCATTCGCGTGGCCACACAACTACAAAGTGGGTCAGCCCCATTGGATACCCTTTGTTGCACAGCTATGATTGTTCTTAGTGTAGCGACGTGGAAGAATCACAACTTAAGAGCTAGGGGTCGTAACAGTGCCCCCCCCTCTAGGGTATTTCAGCGTCGACACCACTGAAGAAAACCCAACTCTTTGATTCTTGTTTTGATTTACGCACGGGGCGATTGATTTAATCAATTTGCGGGCAATAAAAGGATCTCGATTCGATTGACACACATTTTCGCGGCCATTCAAGGTCGACTGCGGTCGCTGTTGCTGTCGCTGTTGCTGCTGTCGCTGCTGCGAGCAAGCAGTGGGCCAGAGCCCAGAGCTGCGGCAACCTTGCAAGCAGAAGCACAAGCACAAGCAGTGGAAAAGTCAAAGTCAATGGAATCTGCTGCTCTTTCTATAGATAAAGTACATGTAAGTTACATTACCATTACATATGTAAATATGTAAATATATGTATGTGTATGTACATACATATGTATGTTCGACTATATAAAACGTGCTTTCTCAATTGACTATTGAAAGTGATAATAAGTACATAAATATATGTATGCATGTAAGTAGATGTAAGTAGATGGCACTGCCCTCTCCCATTGCACTCTCTCTCTCTCTCTCTCTGTCCTGCTCTTTTAGTGATTTCTTTGTATACCCTTTCCGAAGTTATTGTGGTTGAAGCTGACTATCATCATTTAATAAATCTAAACTTGTTTTATAATATACATACATATATGAAAATACATTTGTATATATACATATATTTACATTGATTGTACATTTGAGCGATCGGAAATGTTTTTGTGTGCGAAAATGGTTTGTTATCCAACCAAACTTAAGAAATTCCAGCTGTAAATATGTATGTACATATCGTTGGGTTACTGATTCAAAATAGGATCAAAATATCATTTCGGGAAGAATAGATTTTAGATATTATCAAATTATTATATGTAAATATTATCTTGCCATGTTTCTATTTTCTTCCCTCTTTAATTTCTCGAATTTCTTGCATTGGCTTATCTTTTGACTTCTCTTCATTCCCTCTCCCTCTCTCCCTCTACCTTGACTCATTTGTCATGCATTCCCTACAAACCGTAACGGCAGGCACTCCACTCACCCCACTCTCATCCAGTTTCTTTTGCTCGGCTTGAGCTTTTGCCTGCTCCTTGGCTGCTTTATCGTCGCCGCCATCCTCCGCTCTTACTTCACTCGTATTATTGTTCTCCATTACAATAAAGGGACTGTGCACATAACGGTACTCACAGATACGAAGACAGAAGACAGTAACAGAGTAAAACAGTGTAAAACAGTCTTTTGGAATTTTATCAAATGCCCGAAAATTCACGCACGTTCAATGATTTTATTTTTTTTTTTGTTTGGACAACAATTAACAATCGTCGACACAGGTGCAATTAAGACGAGCTGGTCAGAGTGGGGTGGAGCAGAGGGGTGGAGAGATGCTGGGGTCGGGCCACGTTGATGCCGTAAACGAGCAGCACACTTGCCAAACGATAAATGATGCGCTGCCCCCGTGTAAGCTGCGCTTTTAAAGCGCAGAAATACAACGGTGGAGAGGGAATAGCGGACAGCGGACAGTGGACAGCAGCAGCGCAGTCGGCAGCCAAAAAAAGAGACGAACAAGAACAAAAAGCAAATTAAATTTTTAGATAAACAGCCAGCACGGGCGCAAGAGCGAGAGCAGCAGAGCTGACTCAATTAACGGAGATTTTGACACTGGCTTTGCTCTCGCAGTGGGCTTGGGCTTAGAGCTTAGTGCAGCTGCGACGCAGCGCTGAAGCTGACATCAAGCTTCATTTACACGACGACCCACTACACACCCCCAGAGAGCTTTTGCAGTCAAGTTCAATGCTGATCAACGAAGCTGATTCTGTCTCTCTGCCTCTGTATCTGGCCAGAGCTCAGCTCGGCGCGGGTGCAGCTATGCCTCTCTTGCTGTTAGGCAAAAATTTGTTCCCTCTCTGTTGTCGGGCTCTCCACCAGATGGTAATCTATGCCATCTACTATCTAAGGATCCCATATGGCTGCTATCTTAGTTTGGTTTTCTTTACGGCCTTAAGTAACATTGACTGGGACTTTCCCAGGCAGGCTATAAATCTACCCCGGTCATAAAGATTTACGATACGCATTAGTTATTGTTTCAAGATTGCTGTTTTTCGCGTGAATCGAATCGAATCGAATCTCATCGTTCCGAGCTGTTCCGAGCTGTGTGGGGGAATCGGATAGTTCGGCTTCGACTGAGCTGAGACCAGAAAACTTCATCAGCAACGCCATAAAAGTCGCTTCGAATCGATTTCAGTGCAGTTAAGGGAGAGCCATTCGCTTCATAGACTCACCTCAGTCGAGATGGCGCCCTTGGAGAGGTCCTTTGTATCCGTTGCATACCTATTATCGGTCATAAAGGGCAAATGATGGCTCGGCCTAAGCACTGCAAGAATGGGAAAATTTAATGATTAAAGTTTGATTAAAGGCTTTCAGTTGGAAGACTCACCCTTGCTGTTTTCAATGTCGTTTAGCAGAAACTCCAGATTGGAAGTGGATTGAAAGGTGTATGTCGTGGACTGGGACTGGGTCGAAGTGCTAGACGCCTGTCTTTTGTAAGTCCCCTTCTTCATAGTGACAAATTGATCTCCGATATTTATGTGACAGCAGACACACGGCCTCACACAATCAGGGACATCAAACAAATTCAATTCATTGAGCAAACAGTTGATATCAGCTTCGATATCGATCTATGACGGGGTCGAGCTGTGGCTCTCCATTTGCAAAAAAAAAAAGATTACTGCAACTCCCCCACTTGAGACATCGCCCTTAGCGATCGAGTAAGGCAATCAATCCAGTATCTTCACCAACGTGTATATCTGTATCTGTATCTTTATCTTTGCTTGTATCTGTATCTTTGGAGGCTCTCCAATCTGGACAGTTGGTTTGCTTTCGCTTGATATTTATGGCCCGGTTACCCAAGTGGCACAGCGCAAGGTGCGATTCGGGCAAGGTAATGGTGGGCGCGTGGGCGCGTGTCCCCCCTTTCCATGCCTGGGGGCTAATCGCACTCCTATCCGATCTAATCGTCAGCTGACCGATCGAACGATAAGACAAGCGCTGAGGCTACTTGTTGGCACATACATAATTGGTAGGTACAACCCTAAGTTCTGGAGGCGTTGAAGGGCACGAAAGGATTGCAAAGCCAGTCGCAGATCTGTATATCTGTGGATGCATTCCGATTCCCATTGAGCCGCCTTACATTCCACTACCCATTAAAGTGATGGCTATCTCTCTCTCTCTGTGTGTGTCAGCACGCAACCTGATTGACTGTTACACATAACGTACCCCACTCGTATGCGGTATGCGGCATGGGCATACTCTTAATGGCTTTAATTAAGTGTTACTCAATCGGGGCGCATTGCATACCATCGACACCATGCAATCTCAAGCCGATCGGCGGCGCTGGCCAGGCCAAATGACAATCGTCAAATCGAAAGCACAACAACAACAACAACAATAGCAAAACAGCAAAAGTTCACTTATCGCCCAGCCACCCCCCCACCCAGTCCCACCACTCGAATCACACAGAGCAATAACAATAGCAGGAACAGTGAGAATAACACCAACAACACTCGTACAATGAATGACTTTTGGGCCATCGAGTACGAGTACGAGTACGAGTACGAGTATAGCCAATAGATGTTTATACTTGTTTCTGGGCATGGCTATAATGATAGCGAACCATAAATACTATTTGCAGTTATCGGCTCGGCGATTAAGTTCAGTTCATAAAACAAAACCGACACGAGCCGGGCCGGGCCGGACCGGGCCCGATTAGATGCCAATCGATGGGCGTAAGCGTCTCTGCTCTGCTCTGCTCTGAACTGAAATCGAACTGAATTGCTTTGACATCCAGCTGCCTTAATGCCCTTAATCCTAGAGCAGCTATGTCCAGTTGCTAGGTGCTCCACGGCACTGCTGAGGTAACTTCAGGGATGCTTCAGATGTTGCTGTTCAGCGGAGTTGCCTTTAGAATGGGCATCCCTGGGCAGTTTACTTTATTCTAATGATTTTGGCACAGGACCAGACGATGTCTGATAATACACAGGCACTGCGTACGATTAACGTGTTTATTCTAAAACTATTTATAGATCCAAGTGATAACGATATATATCTCCGCATGTTTTAGTTAAATATTCACATGGCCATGTCTTCTTAATGAATATTTGTTTATGCATAATTATAATAACCCTTAGATGCTGCATCTAAGGTGAGGCGCAAAGTCTGGGAGTACTGAAGCTGCCATCCCTGAGAGTTATACACCCAAAACTCTCTCTCACTTTTTGGCTGATACAGAGAGAGTCGAAAATAGTTAGTAAGTGACTTGACTGACTCTCCCGCCCACCTTCGAGTAGTTCGAAACAGACGAGGCGTGGCACTGAGATAAGTTACTGGCAGGGCAATCGAGATGTACATACAAACATATCTACATATGTATGTATGTGCGTATCTACGATACGATGATCTGGCGTTGTCATTGTCATTGTTATTACTGTTGGAACCGCTCTGACAGCGATGAGAGACGGACGGGTCATAAATAGCAGACGGGCATAGCGGCATACCACCTCTCCATTCATTACGAGGGGGGACACAAAAGAGTGGGAGGGGGGGCCGTAAATAGTCGTACTTGCAACAGACTGTCGATAACACAACGATTAGGCTTATCGCAGTTAACGCTTTTGTCATCCTTCCAGTGCTTCAGCGACGTCGACAGTGGCAGTCTCAGTGGCAGCACCAGCAGCAGCAGCAGCAGCAGCACGCGCGCAGTCGCAGCGGGCAGAGCAAAGCAAGGCAGCGAGCGCAACAGTTAACGGCTTCTTAGCAAAGCTTGCAAGCAGTCGACATCAGTCAGAGTCTGTTGATCGTCGCTGCCGGGTCGCACTGCAGCTTTTGTTTTGTGCTATATTTTTTTTTTGCAGTTGTTGTATATCTAGCTTAATGTTTTAATGTGAGTTACAGTGCGGGCAATACGATAAATGTACAATACGTAAATCCAACAAAACGAGACACGCAAAACAAGATCAGAAAAAAACAAAAAATAAACACTTTCTGGTTGTAAAAATAAAAAAAAAACTACAAAATTTATGCACATTTAGCTACCTTTTTTTTTTTGTATATTATTACTTTTGTTCATTCTGACCGCTTTGTGTGCTAATTGAACTCTGAAATATTTCGGGCAAAGGATGTCACATATTTTTTTTATGAAGCACGTCTTGCGCATTGCTTTTCTTTCGTGTTCTTGATTGAATCAGAAAAGAAAGCGCGAATTTATACGAGTAGCTTAATATACATACATATATGTACATACATGCAGCAACATTATAAAACACACGAGTATACCCACAATACAATACAATACAATACAAATAAATAAATGCAAGTATTTCTATTCGATTTCAAGTGACGCGTAACGGATGTAAAGCAAACTCCAGCAGCAGCAGCAGCAACATGACGGATAAGGAAAATGGTATTGTTATTGTTATTAATTGTTCTATAAATGTCCATAATTATATATATGTATGTATAATTATATGATCTCCGATTTAAGTGGAGAGGTACACATTTTTTTTGGCTAAGATTTCATTGAGTTAATTATAGCGTGTAATAAAAGGTGGCTTGCAGTGGAAATACTGTTGGAAATTTTCGATGAATCGTTGTGTAAAAATGTCAGAAATATTCCCAATATGTTTTTGAGTGAACGAATCCTGTTTAAAGATAAAGCATTGATTGGTAATCCTTCCTTACTACGGGAAAAGTTACTTGATTAACTCTAATAATTACTCAGAGAAAGTTTAATCACCCCCCATATCAGAGCCAAGAAGTCGGCCGTTGAGTAACGGCCAAGGCAGAGCTATAAAGATTACCTGCACACATATGTATATGTATATATATTTATCTGTCAACACTTGAATCGGAATTAGTGGCAAACTGGCTGAAGAGCCTTTCCCCAGAACTCTAATCATGCCGATAAGGGGGGGAAGGGAGTGAGGGCCCCCGTCTTCGATTCACTTGACCAGCTGGACTGGGCCCAGTCGGGGTGCAGCCCAAAGAAGAGTTGCCAAAATTGGTCAATCGGCACACGCACACAGGGGAGCCCTGCCGCTACCAATTTGGCATTGGCTCGAAAACCCATTTGTGGTAGATTATGTGTATATTACGACTATATATATATGTAGTACATACGTATGTGCATATATAATGTGCACATATAATTATATTCAGTTCGATAGTGCGCTTGCATTTCAATGCCAGTCTACAAATCGGTCTAACATCGCTCATTTGCATATTTTTATAAACGTCGAGGCGGCTCTCCTCTCCTCTCTCCTCTCTGCGACTCTGTGTTATTTTGTTGTTGTCTGGTATTCCCCCGCCAAACAAAATTGCTGACAAATCGCCGCGCTGTGAGCTGTGTAATGCACGAAGATTACTAAGTCCAATTGATTCTGGGCATTGTTTTTTCTTTTTTCTTATTTTTACATTTGCTATTTCAGTTACAGCTTTCGACTTGGCTAACGCTGAGTAGCCTGGGCCTGGGCCTGGGCCTGGGTCTGAAGATTGTGTCATCAGTTGCGAATGCGACGAATGAGAGTCAGAGCAGAATCTGGCTGGTTGGCTGGCTGGCTGGCTGGCTGGATGGTCGGGGAACAGGAACAAGACAATCAGCGTTACGCTACCGAATATTGGCTTTCATATCTAACCACCGATAGCATTGCGTTGATAGATGTTGCCCCCGGCCCCAGCTACAATCACATTCCAGGGAAGAGCAAACTGAAAAACACTTGAACATTGTAATTAAAATTGCTTCGATATCAGATTGCTACTCGTACACATCCTGCCCCGGGGCACGGGACGGGGGCCATAAAACCCCAAAACAGCCAAAGGCCTAATCGCTTGTAAATCAGTTACAATCGCTCGATACATGAAAAACAAGTGGATAGGAATAGCTGTTCTATGGCTCTATGGCTCTATGGTGCTATGGTGCTATGGTGGCCTATGTGGGGATTGTGGATTGTACGCAGCTCATTTCATTCTGTGTCGCTGCTCAATTTACAACCGCTACGCCGGCCAATCGGCAAACAAAAGCGATAGCAGTAGCGATAACGATAACAGCGGTGCGTCGTCATTCCCCACTCACACACAGACAACAATGGCAATGTCATCCATGCAGTGTACGTGCGCCCTGTAGCAAGATTTATGTGCTTGGGATTTTTCGGATACAGTGCATCCGCACTGCGTACTGTACTGCGTTGATATAAACCCCTTTCCATTCAGAAAACATCTGAAAAGTTTTTCAGATAAGTGAACAAAAGAATTACCCAGAGCTGGAGCTATTTTTCTGATAAGCAATTTCTAGCGTCTAGCTGCTGGGATTTCCCACAGAAGCAATCGAGCAGTGGAGCAGCTCTGAATTGCAATTTGAACAGCGTTACATCAAATCCTTGAAGTTTCTTTTTGGCATTAACTAAAAAAAAAAAAGAGAAGAAACGTGTGAGTCGCTTCTGGGGTCGCGACTCTACTTATACCCGTACTCAATCAGTATATATATTTTGAAATACACTTGTATGTAGCAGTGTATCACATGAGTCTGGAAACAAAATTTGGTTCCTCTAGCTTTTATAGTCTCTGAGACCAGGGCGTCAAACAAGACGGACGGACGGACAGACGGACAGACGGACAGACAGACAGACAGACATGGCTCTATCGAATCGGCTATTGATGCTGATCAAGAATATACATATATACTTTATGGGGTCGAAAACGTTTCCTTCTCTGCGTTACACACATCTACTTTTACCACAAATCTAATATACCCCTTAACTCTTTTTTGAGTACGGGTATAAAAGACTTGGCATTGACACAAATCCAAAGTAGGTTTGCCTGAATACGAATACGAGTAGCAGTACGAGTAGTACTCGTATGAATGAATTGTTTGGCTGATTACGCGAGGAGCCAGGCATGATTGGCATGCGTGCCTGCCCGACTTCCACTTCGACTTCAAACGAGCCCACCGCTGCGGACTAAGCGGACTAAGTGATAAGTAATTTTATGTTATGTTAATGGATGGTGGATGGAGTGTACACTGCACACTCTACAGCATTGTTTCCACTGGTTTATTGCTGCCTCTAATGGCAGCTCGTAAACGCTGATAAAGCATCGCTCGATGTGCCGCATGGATAAGCCTCGAGCTGCATAGCCCATACATACCGATCGTCGATTAATCCAGACCCAGACCCAGACCCAATCAAATTCATTCAGTCATTTCCGTCTATTTGGATTAATTTTTTTTAGAATTTCCGATGGGTAAATGAAGGAATTTCCTACTCTACATACGATGTAAGGGCCTGATCAGACACCGATCAGTGTCAAGCAATCAGTTGGCCAGACTCTTCCTGGCTGGGCGCGCTCGAATGGCTTGGTGGCATCTGGTTATCGGTGGATGTACAAATGCGGCACGCACCCAGTCGAGTCACACTTGTCCCCACTGGGCATGGTCATGTACGAGTGCCCATGCCCATTTGGGGTAGCCAGCAGCCTCATCAACATGCGGAGCTCAACTGGAGCCTCATAGAGGCGCGAGGTGCGAGACGCGAGCAGATTATGGCGTGGAAAGCCGCTCTCCAGATGAGCGTTGAGCGATGAGAGTCGAGCTATCAGCCCATCAGTCTATCAGTCGCGTTATCTGCCACGGCTGTGGACACTGTCTGAGGGGCTGTGGCTTCTTTATGGCTCTGCATCTAATGCGGGGAAAATTTATGCCAAGCCACCGAATTCACACGCTCCCAGGGTGGACGCACTCCAAATTAAGATCTGTCAGATCTCTTATCTGTGGATGTGGGTGTGGGTGTTGGGTGTCAAGTACAAGGCTGTCTTTACCCATTCTGATGAAATGTCGCTGAGTCTCTGAGATCAGTAGCAATTCGCTGGCCAAAGCAGACAATTGGAATGGAAGCCGCAGCGGAGATCGTGCCGCTCCTTGGTGCGATCGCTTGCTGACTGTCAGCTCTGTCGCCTCCTTTTAACTTATCCTCTCCCTTGCTTCTCTCCACAGAAATACTGCCCGCCGGCGAGCCCAGCGAGGCCTCAAACGCAGCCCCAGCCGCAGCTCCTGTAGTCCTTGCAGCACCCACAACCCCAACCCCAGCACCAACCCCAACCGAGTCTGCGCCTAGCGATGCTCCGCTTGAGGTCTCTGCAGAAACTGCGGCAGCACCTGCAGCCGACTCCGAATCCGAGTCGAAGGCCGAGACCAATGGCAAAGCGCTGCTGGCGGTGGAGGCCAAGAAGCTGCCCGATGGCCCCGAGCCGGAGCAGAATGGCAAGGAATGGCAGGAGGACAAGGACTTTAACAATGTTGCCGAGGCCGAGGGACAGCAGAAGGTGCGTTGAACCCTTTGCCGTGGATGCCAGCTGTAGCTAATCCCCCCGTTTTTTTATTCTGTCCATCGTTGCCCCCCCAGAAACTGCCGTACCCCAAGTCCGTGTTCTTCATCATCAGCAACGAGTTCTGCGAGCGCTTCAACTACTACGGAATGCGAAGTGAGTAGCTGCTAGCCAGGATACAGGGATACAGGGATACAGGATCCACTAATACCAATCTCCGTTTGCTTCCTTTGCAGCTGTGCTGGTGCTGTACCTGAGTCGCCAGCTGGGATATGCGGAGGACACCGCCACAGTGGTCTTCCACGTGTTCACCATGTTCGTGTACTTCCTGTGCGTGTTCGGAGCCATCATCTCGGACTCGTGGCTGGGCAAGTTCAAGACGATACTGTACCTGTCGATGGTGTACATATGCGGATCGGTGCTGCTGACCCTGGGCGCCATCGGGCCGCTCAATCTGCCCGTGGAGACGTTCACGATGCTCGGCCTGGCCCTGATCGCACTGGGCTCGGGCGGCATTAAGCCGTGCGTCTCGGCCTTCGGCGGTGATCAGTTCAAGGTGCCGGAGCAGGTCAAGCAGATAACTTCGTTCTTCTCGCTGTTCTACTTCTCGATCAACGCTGGCTCGCTGATCTCGACGACGGTGACGCCGATACTGCGCGAGGATGTCTCCTGCTTCGATGACATCAACTGCTATCCGCTGGCGTTCGGTGTGCCCGCCATCCTCATGATCGTCTCTGTGGTGATCTTTGTGCTGGGACGCTCCCTCTACAAGATGAAGCCGCCGGCGGGCAATATGGTGGTGCTGGTGTCCAGCACCATCTGGACGGCCATCACCACCAAGTGCAAGGAGAAGAAGACCAATCCGCGGGAGCACTGGCTGGACTATGCGGACAAGAAGTACGAGCGCCAGCTGATCGACGATGTCAAGGTGCTGATGCGCGTCCTCTTCCTGTATCTGCCGCTGCCCGTCTTCTGGGCACTGTTCGATCAGCAGGGCTCGCGCTGGACCTTCCAGGCGACGCGCATGGACGGCGACATGGGCTCCTGGGACATCAAGCCCGATCAGCTGCAGGTGCTCAATCCACTGCTCATTCTCGTCTTCATACCCCTGTACGATGTGGCCTTCTATCCGGCCCTCAGCCTGATCGGCATCCGGCGGCCGCTGCAGAAGCTGACAGCAGGCGGCATCCTAGCCGGCGTTGCATTCATCATCTCCGGCGTGGTGGAGCTCAATCTGGAGGTAAGTGCCCCAATCCCCAATCCCCAATCCCCGTTGCCCGATCGATGTCGTACCAGCACCTGCACCAAGCAAACACCTTTTCCAACACCGCTTCTCTCCCACTCTTCTCTGTCGCTGCGTAGAAAACCTATCCCGACCTACCCTACAGCCAGAACATCCAGCTGCGCGTCTTCAACACGGAGAACTGTCCCCTGACCTTCATCAGCAATCTGGCTGGTGCCGAGAGCTTCCAGGTGCCCGCCCTGGGCGCCTACACCAACAAGGAGCTGTATGTGGCGAACACCTGGGATCTGCAGTACTCGATCAGCAGCACGGACCCCAACTGCCCGGACATAGCGCACAGCGGAGCCCAAAGCTTGGCCCAAAAGAAGGCCTGGTCGTTGTTCATCAACCCGGCGAATGTCACTGGCACTGGCACCCAGAAGAGCTACTGGCAGGAGGACTTCGTCGACAAGCCCTCCGAGAGCCATCCCCTGGTCCGGACCATAGCCAATGTGCCGCCCCAGAGCACGATCGTGTGGCAGAACGCCAACAAGGGCGATGTGGCCTACGAGCAGTACGCCAACGAGACGCTACTCACACGAGTGTATTCCGCCAAATATGATGTGTTCATCGACCAGCAGCCCGTGGGATCTGTCGATGTTCATGCCGGTGGCGTTTACACGCTGCTTGTCAAAGAGACCGTCGCCGGCACCAGCGGTGTGTACGACTTCGAACTGATCGAAATCACCGAGCCCAACTCGATGAACATCCTCTGGCTGATACCGCAGTATGTGGTCATGACCCTCGGCGAGGTGATGTTCTCGGTGACTGGCTTGGAGTTCTCGTACGCCCAGGCGCCGCCCAGCATGAAGTCGGTGCTGCAGGCCTGCTGGCTGCTGACCGTCGCCTTTGGCAATGTCATTGTGGTGATCATTGCCGAGGCGGCGCTGTTCGATTCGCAGGCCAGCGAATTCTTCCTGTTCGCGGGCCTCATGTTCGCCGACATGCTGATCTTTATGGTGATGGCCTACTACTATCAGCCCAACGATCCCAATAAGGTGCAGGAAGAGGTGCAGCCACTGACTGGCGATGCCAAGACCGAGATACCGCCCCTCGTCGAGGGTGTCGAGAACAAGGGCAAGGACATTGATGAGTAGGCTATGCTGCCCTGCTCCTGCTCCTCCTGCTGCTGTTATGCTGCTCCTCCTGTGTTGTGTATTATAAATATTGTATGTGTATATGTATATGTATGTCAATCCCCCTACACCCTACGATTACGATGCCTCCCCCCTCTGTGTCCATTTCCAATCTAAGTGTAAGTGAAGCTCTGGCCGTGGCCGTGGCCGTGCCGTGGCCGGTCGTTGTTGCATCGGCGGACTGGACTGTCGTTGCATATATGTATATGTATATGAAAAGACATTCATTTAGTTAATCTAATAAAAAGAAAACAAAAACAATTATTAAGCACCCTTTTGCCTCTTGCCACTTGCCTCTGCTCTGACTGTCTGCACCGCACCCCACTCTGTGTCTGTGTTTATATATCTTCCTGCACCACTGATTAGTAGCTGTAGTTGAAGGCGATGATAATTCGATAGCTGCACCAAAGAATCAAACACATTAATCGCAGCAAATATATTTAGCATGTAAAGTGCGGCCGGCGTGCTGCTGATTCCAGGCTGGAACTGCGAGTTTCAGTGTAAGAAAACTTCCCAAATTGATGGTTTTTATTTGGCAGCAAACCTACCCACTCATGCCCAGCAGCGGGAATACCCAGCTGCGGGTCTTTAGCGGCATACCCGACTGCTCGTACCGCTTCAGCACCAATCTGGGGGCGCGCGAAAGCTTCACGCTGCAGGGCCTGGACCTGTACTACTCGGGCAGCCTGGCCACCAGCAACGGCACCTTCACGCTCACCTACACCATCGAGAGTCTCACCACAGGTGAGTCCCCCTCCGCCCGTTCCATAATGCCATGCCATAAAGCCAGAATATGGTAGATATAAATCTATGGAGAAAGAGGTACTTGAAGCACTTGAATAAAGCACGATTGATGTCCTCAGAAAGATAAATAAAAGCTTTCGAAGGGATTTTGATGCTTTAAAGGCCCATCTATAATCATTAGTATTAAGTATTTAATTTTAGAGCAGTTTCAACTTAATTTACAATTCATGTAAATCTTTTTCAATCCACTAGCAAGCTCTGAAACCCATCAGCGTTTGCCTGTTCAGTCTGTGGATTGGATAGTAAACTAATTTACCTAATAAGTATATTGTATAAGACAGGCAGATCTAGTTAGTGGGATTACATGTATTTATAAGATTCCCTGGCTTAAGTTTTCATTGAGAATTTATGAATATGTTTTAGGGGAAGTCAAACATGGCGAACATTTATATCTCCCTCATTCGGCTTTGAGCAAAAAGGCAGCAGAGTCTCTCTTATATATGTAAATATCTGTTTCAACGATTTGCGATTTCCCACAGGCTGCGTTGAGCTGCAGGATGGCACACAGGAGCTGTACGAGGCAACGGCACACACGCTCTTTCTGCGGCCGGCGCACGCCATCACCAAGCACTGGTACGCGGACGATGTGCAAAAGTCCAACCGATCGCAGTCCTTTGTAAGGACGCTGGCCAATTTGCTGGCCACCACGCGGGTGGTGTGGACCGAAACGAGCAGTGGCGACGTCGTCCTGGACATGCCCGCCCGCAACCATGACCTCTACGAGCTGGTTACCGGACACTACGACGTCCAGGTGGGCGACCATCCGTTGACCGATGTCAGCCTGCGGGCCGGTGGCGTATACGCACTGGTCGTGGCCCAGAGCCGGGATGGCTTCGTTTCGCGCCTGTTTGAGGTGACGCCACCCAACTCGATGAGCATGCTCTGGCTGATACCGCAGTATGTGGTCATGACCCTCGGCGAGGTGATGTTCTCGGTCACTGGTTTGGAGTTCTCCTACTCCCAGTCGCCGCCCAGCATGAAGTCCGTGCTGCAGGCCTGCTGGCTGCTGACCGTCGCCTTTGGCAATGTCATCGTTGTGGTTGTGGCGGAGCTGAAGATCTTCGATTCGCAGGCCAGCGAGTTCTTCCTCTTCGCGGGCCTCATGTTCGTCGACATGCTCGTCTTTATGGCGATTGCCTACTTTTATATACCCTACGACGAGCGGGAGGCGGTACTGTTATAATTTTACAAAGTTAATCAAGTAGTTGCCATCCGTATAATATTCGTACTAAAAACGGACATTTAAATAAATGCATATCTATATATCTACATATTGACGAAACAAGTATTGGCACAGCAAGAATTGTTCCTTTGGCTTTAAGCGCTTTCCAGCACGGTACATGCGAAGAAATTACTGCATATTCATACCAATGGGAAGGAACAAAATTTATCAGAATTTTCACATAAGGATAGGGTATAAAATATTTCATGGAAATCAAATAGAAATGGATCCGATGGGCTGCGTTGCGAACTAGTGGCAGCGCCACTGTCAATGTGAGCGGAAAAACGCTAGAGCGACACCTGCAGTTCGTAAACGCCAACCCAGCGAACGATTAACCCATTGTCGACCAGTAAGGATTTCGATTGAGGCGCACAAAAAATACCGCTGACAAATTTTCCGCAGAGGTTTTTCTTCTTCTTCATTTTTGCGGAAAATGTTTTTTTCTTCTTCCTTTTTGAGGAAAAAGTTTCTTCTTCTTTTTTGCGGATTTTTGTTTTTAGGGCTGCCAGATCAGTTTAAGGCGAATCGGTAAAGAAACGGGTCACAAAATATCATGGTGTGGCAGCCCGCAACAACTACGAATTGCACGAGTCTGGCAGCGCCACCAACAACGACGTCACATTCGTTTTATGTTGTTTTTGTTTGAACCTTTTTATGTAAACAATGCAATCAAAATGACTTCTGAAAACTAGCCAATCTTGTACAAAATTTATTGACGAATTGGATAAAATTATTTTTTTATGGCTGAGAGGGCTAACTAGCTAGTAATATTAAACCGAATATCCAAATCGAGGAATATCAACGTATCTTGTCGTGTCCGTCAGTATATTTACGGTATATTTTGATAGTGACAAGGTGTGTTTTGGTATTTTATGGTCGTTTGGTATATTTTATCGATAAGTCCACTGATAAGTCCACGGTCACACTGAGCACCTGCGTGAAAAAAAATCATATGATCGATTTGAGAAAATAGGTTGAATTTTCGTCAGAGCTTTGTTACACATTTCGCGCTATTCAATCGAGCCAGATTCGCAGCCCGCAGCCCGAGTCCAGACTTTCATTCAACGCCACTCCCCCTATTAGTGTACAGTGCGCGTGTCGTGTGCTTTTTTTGCTTTGTGTGTTGATTTGTAAGTTGCAAAGATGGACAGCTCAGGATTCATGTTCAACATCGACAATGGGTATCTGGAGGGCCTGTGCCGTGGCTTCAAGTGTGGCATCCTGAAGCAGGCCGACTACCTGAATCTGGTGCAGTGCGAGACTTTGGAAGGTGAGTGAGAAGGCGCTGGTCGCCTCCATACAATACTTACATACCATACCCCATACCCGTGCGCCAGCTTTGTCATGTGACCGTACGGCCGTGGCTGATATCAGCAGCAGCACTGTATGTATGCATACATACATACATACATACATGTATGTGCGTGAATGTGGGTGTATGTGGCTGTATGTGTAAGCTTGTCTTGTGATTTGTTAATAATTTTAGACATTTTCGACAAACTTCAATTGCATTCGCCCGTCCGATTATATTTTAGATCTGAAACTGCATCTGCAAGGCACCGACTACGGCAGCTTCCTGGCCAACGAGCCCTCACCGCTGTCCGTGTCGGTGATCGATGACAAGCTGCGGGAGAAGCTGGTCATTGAGTTCCAGCATATGCGCAACCATGCTGTGGAGCCACTATCCAATTTCCTGGACTTCATCACCTATGGCTATATGATCGACAACATCATCCTGCTCATTACGGGCACGCTGCACCAGCGTCCCATCTCGGAGCTGATACCCAAGTGCCATCCGCTGGGCAGCTTCGAGCAGATGGAGGCCATCCATGTGGCCTCGACGCCCGCTGAGCTGTACAACGCCGTGCTGGTGGACACACCGCTCGCCCCGTTCTTTGTCGACTGCATTTCCGAGCAGGATCTCGACGAGATGAACATTGAGATCATCCGCAACACGCTGTACAAAGCCTACCTGGAGGCCTTCTACAATTTCTGCAAGAGCATGGGCGGCGCCACCGCAGATGTTATGTGCGAGATCTTGGCGGTAAGTGGGGTTCCCTGCCAGCTTGCCCCTTTGGTTTGCACCTTCATTTGCTGATTTCTCTTCGTATGCTTGCAGTTTGAGGCCGATCGCCGTGCCATCATCATCACGATCAACTCATTCGGCACCGAGCTGTCCAAAGATGATCGTGCCAAGCTGTATCCCAACTGCGGCAGGATGTACCCCGATGGACTGGCCGCTCTGGCCCGTGCCGACGACTACGAACAAGTGAAGACCGTGGCCGAGTACTATGCGGAATATGCCGCTCTCTTCGACGGCTCCGGCAACAATCCCGGCGACAAGACACTCGAGGACAAGTTCTTCGAGCACGAGGTCAAGCTGAACGTGTACGGCTTCTTGCAACAGTTCCACTTTGGCGTCTTCTACGCGTACCTTAAGCTCAAAGAGCAGGAGTGCCGCAACATTGTCTGGATTGCCGAGTGCGTGGCCCAGAAGCATCGCGCCAAAATCGACAACTACATACCAATCTTCTAAGGCAATCAGCCGCCCCGCCGGCATTCAAATAATTATTACACGCGTTTTTTTTTCCTCCCTGCCCTTGAAGATATTTCTGTATTTTTTTTTTTTAGTTGGTTCTCCACCAATCCCTTGTTATCAATTGTTTAATGTATATTAATATTGTGTCTTTTGTGCAAACTTTATGTATACATATGTATGTAGTTCTGTTACGAGTATTATTGTCGCTCATTCGATAAGTTCTTTTCGAGTTTTTTAGTTCAATTCTCAGCATTTCTCTGCCTTTCACAAGTATCCCCTCGATTGCTCTGCAACTGCAGATATCTGTATGTAACTACATATGCCCATATATATGTATGTATGTATGTATGCAGAAGACAACTGAGTGGGTTGTCTGCTCGTGCGTGCACCTTCAGGGGTTCGTATTTGTGTACATATTTATAATTATCGAAAGAACGCAAATTCAATAGCAAGCATTGGGTGAGGAGAGCATCACCACCATACATATGTTATCTACTATATAGAAATGCTTACATATACAAACATACAACAAAAAACTTACATATGTGAATGATATAAATCAATTATTAAAACATGTTTTCAAACATTCCCTCAAACGCTTCCCTCTCTCTGTCTATTCCTTTTCCCCATCCCTCAAAAAAAGTAGCAAACTGATACTATATAAATATGAAATATATATAGTTTACGCTTGTGCTTTAATCGGATACTTTCTGATTGGCACAGCGTTTGAAATAATTACTGCAAGAATTAAACAATTTTGGAAGAGGACTTTTTGGTCGACGCAGACATGCCCCCGCCAGGTTTCTTCTCCGCATGGCGCACTACACTTTCTTCTGCATTTTGTTGTCCAGATTTTTGTCACTCAAAAATCCCGCATCTCCACAGCAGTTCGAATCCTTGGAAGCCACGGCCAGGTCTCCAGTTTTCGTTTCCAGAGCCTTGTCGTCGATCACCAGTTTTCGTTGGTAAGTCCCGTGGGCAGTACGTTGCCAAGAGACTTTAGTTTTCAGTTGCTTCATTGCTATTTTTTTAGAATTTTCAACGAATATGTTGGCCACCTTCTTCCCGGATGCAGATCGCTGATTTGGGTTCAGCCAGACAACGCGAGTTTCGTTTTCGTATACCTCCACCATATCGCCACGGCTGTGGCACGTCGCCGACCCAAAATCGTCCATTGCTTTTGCCACAAGAGATTCATAGCGGAATTTCAGTCAGTTTAATAACAATTAAGATCTCATTTGATTGTTTACGTACCAGAAGTTTTTAGTTTATCCATGGAAAATTTTTTGAATGTTTCAAAAATCGAAAAAATATATTTTGTTGTTTATTACTGGATGGGTAAGGGAAAACTGATTTAGTCAACGTATTCGTTTTGAAGTATTACCTATCTGGCCTACTAGGAAATTTTTTAAATATATATTATCTCTACTCTTGGGCATATCGAAATGAATAAAATATATTTATTAGCAGGCCGGATTGAGAAATTTTTGTGTGTGTGTGTCACTAGGCAGCTTTTACGTTTTATTATATATGTATTTGAATTCCATTAAAATAGTAATAGTACTGAGCCAAATGGAATTTAAAATCGAATGTCTTTGTAGGCAGCAAAATGGTACAAAAGCTGGAAGCCACCTTAAATTGATCAACTCCATTTTAAATGGTTTTAAGCTTTTGAAAATTTAAATATTGTTGATTTTAGAACCGCTCTATTTATTTTAGCTATTAACTATTATTATCCCATTATTATTGTTGAATAAATATTCGCCATAGCCTGCTATAAATGCAAACTAAATTCGCTAAGCAATTTAAGGTCAGGATTTCTTAGAGCTTAGAGCTATGGCGATTCGAATATTGAGAAGTTTTATAAATAGCACTGCTCCTACCTTGCAACAGCCAACATCATTGATTTATTAAGTTATATTTAGGTAGGTATATTATATAGAAGCAGCTTACCGAAAGATGTGCTGTCTCTGAACTAAATCCATTTTAGAAAAAAAGAAGAAGATGCTACTCCTGATCTTTTTCAGATAGCTTTGTCATGTCAATTGGGGAGTTCGATCACGTCTAGCTGGGACTGGAGAATCCCAATCCCCAATCACCTCGAAGATCTGTCTTTGTCTCGCGGACAGAGTTCCTTGGCCACTCCAAGGTTCCAGGGTGCGGTCCTTAGTTTGTCTCCTTTGTGCTGTGTGCGTCATCGTTGCGGCCATCTCTAGGCCCAGACAAAGAAACCGCAGACGTAATCCATCACCACCTGGTGCAGGTTGGGGTTGGGGATGAGGAAGAGGAAGAGAGCTGCCGCACTGGCCAAGTGGCACAAATTACCATTGGCCAGTGGACAAGAGTTCGAAGCGGGGGTTAATTGCGAGCGATCGCATGAGCCAGACGAACATGTTCGCTGTGTGAGCAGTCCCATGTTGGTGTACGTGCCCATGTATCGCGGCTTACGGATGATGGCTGTAGGTACCGTTAGGCTCTGGTTTTTTGTGTAGAACAGGTGCCAACGCGAACACGTTCGATGGGAAAAGAAAGCCCCGCTTTGTGCTTGCTCGATCAGCTGTGGAGCTCGACTCGGCTCAGCCGCTGAAATCGCCAATAACTCGGCTCGATGCCTTCGACTCGTCGCAGTTGTGTTTCGCGTCTTCGAACGTACAGTTCAGTCTTTAAAAGCTCCGAGCTTGCCCAGAAAAGCTCCTAGCCAGCCCCAGCACATACAGACAGGCGCGCGCCAAGTTACAAAACGTTTTGGTTTTTTTTTTCTTTTGCTGCCGCTCTGCGATTTGCCGTTACACGGAGTGTCAATTCAAACGATTTTTTTTTGTTTGGTTCAAGTGCCTTTATTAATTGATTGTTCTGTGGCCGCTGAAGTTGAGTGCCTGCCTGCCCCAACGAGTGAGTGGAGTGTCCCGTCTCGCCAGGAAAGCACACTTGGTAGGTATGACCAAAAAAAATACAAAAATTGTTTGGAAACACTGTACTACGTACACTTTGGGGCCCCCCATACATCCCATCTGTTTCACCAGAGTTCGGTTTTTGTTTGTCAGACAACTGTGAAATGCGGTCGCAGACAGCAGTTGTAGAACGCACGCTCGTCGGCACTTTACTTGGCCAAAGATGATGACTGAAGTCGCAGTTGAAGACCAGGAAAAGCCACAGCGCCAGCCCCAATGCCATGCCTGACCATGCCAAGGCAATTGCACGTAAAAGTCGCCGTGAAATTGTGTCAACCAGTTTGGCTCTGGCTCTGGGTCTGGCTCTGTCTCTGGCTGGAGGTGTCTTTCCCCCCCACCCACCAACCTAACTAACCATCTACGTCGTTTGTTATCCGCTTCTGTTTGTGCTTCTGTTCGTTCGTTCCTTCTTCAGGCCTCGTCCGTCATTAACTTATTTGAATTTGGCAAAACAAAAGAAACCACACACAAAACCGAAGCGTTTACATTCTTCGTTTTACTTTCTACCATCATCGCATCGCATCGCATCACATTCTTCTCTGCTCTGCTCTCCTATCCACTTAATGGGCAAAGTCGTGTGCTGAGCGGGGGGGGGGGGCCTTTGGTGCCACTGGAAAGTGGAACTGTCCAATTGTTGGCCAGCTGTTGGGCAATTGGCCAAGAAGATTTTCCCAATCTGACACGACCAGCGGCAACAGATCTAAAGCAGATGGTTTACCGAGCCCAACGAGCTTCCATCCACCCTCCGCTCGGAGTGATCTCTTTTTTTTCTGTTGGCTTTCGAAGCGCGCGCGCGCATGCTTCGTATATCCAGCAGAATCCAGCCGCTATAGATGGCTTTCAAAGCTCACTAATACATCGTTTGAGAAGGTTAATTTTCTGGTCCATCGGGTCAGCCTTGACCGGAAATGCGGCCCACACTCACACACTGTCCGTTGTGCGCTGACCGTTACCCGCTCCCCGCTGTCCGCTGCCCACTCCCCACTGACCTATTCGTGGTCGTGGCCCACGCAGATGGCAAACGAAAAAAATTTCTCCGTTGGCTGCATTAAAGAACTTAACCTTAATTTTGGCATGGGTCTCTCGACATTATGGTCATCATTATTATGGTAACTTTGATTTCTTCCTCCCTACTTGTTGTTTGTGCTGTGCTGTGCTGTGCCCCAGCGATTTCACCCACACGTAGACATCACAAATCAATGTCGGAGGCGTCAGAAGAAAGTGGTAAGCACATACATACATACATACGCGTAACATACACAAAGGCAGATGCATACATGCATACGCAGAGAGAGAGAGAGGGCGAGAGACAAATCAAGCAGAAAAATCACCTCACCTCACCTCCACAGCAGCCGCAAAGAAAAACAGAAAACAGACACAACAAATTATGCAAAATACTAGTATGCCACTGTTATGAGCATCTGAATGCGGTATGCGTATATATGTTGGATTATATAAACCACCATGAAAGGATGTAAAAGTCTGACGAACTGCTGAATGCTTAGCATAATCGAGCAGCTTGAGCAGCGTTTGGTAATCCACACGCCTTGCCTTGCGCGCAGATTACTCGCAGAAGAGCCGCCGCCAGATGGAGAAAAGAAATTTTGGTTGGAATTTTTTTTTTTGCAGTAGTTTGGGCCCTACCCACCCAAGGGGGAAGAGGAGGTCAACACTTTCGCTGCCGAAACCGAATAATTAACAGTTCAATTTCGATTTCAATGGGCCGCGGCCATCTTCATCTTCAGCCTCCCTCACTCTTAGCTGGATCGTGTCATTCGCTTGGGAGTCTGAGTCAAATGGCGCAGATTGTGTTATGATAATTTCTGATAAACTCAACAACAGAAACAGAAACAACAACAAAAATACCCAACTCACTTTCTATTTTCCTATGCGTTTAATAATTAATTAATGCTAATAACTTTTCACAACCGTTATAATTTATTGACAAAATTAGAAAATATGCGTCTGTCTCTTGCAAGCCAAAAAAAAACAACAACAAAAACAAAAAATAAAAATAAAACTCGATCCGCGAGATTGGGCAACGGTCAGAGGGAGGTCTAGAGCGGGATAGAGTGAGGGCGAGAGCTCAAGAGATAACTAGTTGGGCAGACACACGTGGAGTCATGCATATGTATGCAGGCAGGCAGGGCTTCTCTTTTCATTGTGCTTGTTTTTTTTTTTAATATATGTATATTTTTTGTCTCCTTTTCTTTTTTTTACTATTTTCGATATTTGTTCCAAATGTGAAATGCAAATGAAGACGGGTCGGGGAGGCCCGGTTACGTATTGGAATTTCTGTCTCAGCTGTGGCCCGAGCCCAGGTGAAATTATTACTAGTCCAATCCATACTCTCATTGCGTCCACAGGCAGAAATCGGAATCTGCCATAATGCTTGTAATGGATATTGCGATAAATGAAACCACAAGCTTGGGCAGGCTTTGTTTAGTTTGGTTGTAACTTAATAAAGGGTTCTGTTAAACCATCTGGTCAAGGGTATAGCTCCCACATATTAAGTTTCCAAACACGAAAATATCAGTCTGACTTTTGAAAGAAAATTCCCCACATGTTAATAAATAAATATTATGGTGATATTATAAATATAAAGTTTCATAAATGAAAACGGCTAAGATACCGATAAATTCCGATCAGCCCAGCCATCCATATAGCCACTATGGAACCCAGTGGGATGCACGGGTTACGGCTACACTTACGGCTAAGCCCACTTCCACAGCAGCACTGGGAACATTTTTTAATGGGACCCCAAGTCGGAACTGGGCTGAGCTTTGGCCCTGTCAGGTCACATGCTTTCTATCCCTCCAGTTATGGCAGTATTCTTTCTTTCTTGCCTGCTGTCGCCTCAAAGCATGCGGGAAGGTCATCAATGGAATGGACCAATGCCGCCGCCTGGAATGAACGGCAGGCAGATAAGCAGATGCGGCAAAAGCAGTTGAAGACAAAAATGAAAGTGGAACAAAGTGAAAGAGTTGGAAATTATGTAAGGCGAAGATATGGGCAGGGGGGACTGTATACATACATACACACATAAATAAATAGGTACATATGTACATATGTAGATGAAGATAACACTTGTGTGATTGTGGGAATAGAATTATCATGATATATCCGACGAGTTTTAGAAAAAGTTTCGCTGCTTCCAGCAACCGTTACACGCACAATCATGCATATTCCACATTTAAATGTTTCGGGGCAGGCACAGCACCAGACACCAGCTTTGCTTCTTGGGCCTTCTTCATTTCTCCGGCCGAGCTCCAGTTAAAAGCCGCTAATTGATTCGAACATCTTGAGGCGCTGTGCACAGCTCCCCTCCCAGCTACCCGCTACCCGCTACCCGCTAACCGAACCAAAGCACTTCAGAGGTAAATGAGTCAATAGCAGAAATTTCACTTTGCCAGCGGTGACTCCCCCCAGCCCAGGCCCCTCTCCGCAAGGCGAGCTTGAGTTTGAGCTTGGCTTTGAGTTTGGTTTTGTTTTGGTTGGAGTTGGAACTTCGGTTCGAACTTGTTGGCACAAAAGCAGGGCCGTTGAAGCAGTGCTTCCCTGTTGGTAGTGGCCGTCAAAGCAGTTGAAGCAGTGGGGGGAATGCGTAGTATTCTAATGAGGCCTAACCCCATTCGTCAATTAAATAACTATTGAGAGGGGCGACCATTCAAAGAGATTTCACTCTCGTTTTTGTTTTTTGTTGGTTTGTTGGTTTTCAAAGCGCTTTTGTTGTTGTTGTTGTTGTTGGTTGATTTCCATTGACGGACCGCTAGAAGGCGCTCTTACTCGTAATTTGTTTACACTGCTTTTGTCCGAGTTTTGGAAAACGTCGCATCCGTGGGGGGGGGGAGATGCCAGAAAGAAGAAGATGCTGGGGAAACTGAAAAAGTGAAAGAAATTATGTCAATATTTATTTAAATTCATTTCTTTTGCAAAAATACATACACGTCTCCGTCGAGAAAGAGGCAGCGGCGGAGGAATGCGGAGAAATTTAATCGCTCGATTTCGATCAGTTTTTTGGGAATGCCATTTCGAGGCCTTGCCTCTCTATTAATAGTCCGCCCAGTCGCTGATCCATTTAATGTTTTCCCACTTGCAGTTCGACAATGAGAAGCTCCAGGAATATTATGCTGCTGCTGCTGCTGGTGGCCAGCACCGCCATCGTCTCGTTGGACGCCAAGACCGTGTTCAGGCGCACCGATAAGATCTCCGAGAACTTCAAGCAGCTGGATCTGCCGCCCGAGGAGATCGACCCAAATGTTGCGCCACCAGAAGCGGATCCGCCCAAGGCGGACGATGTCGAAGATTTGGCCGATGAAGTCGCCTCCGCCTCTACTTCGCTGGTCGATGAGAGCGCCAATGAGATTTCCAGCGGCGATGTGGAAGCTTTGCCAGCTGAAGCTGCCAATGTGGTTGTGGATGAGGTGGCCGCTCCCGCTGCTGCTGCTCCCGCTACTCCCGCTGCAGCTGCTGCTGCTGTTCCCGCCGCTGTCACCACAGTGGCACCCAAGTTGACCACGGTCAAGCCGGTCACGGACGACAAGAACCCGATCAATCGGTACTGCAAGTGCACAGAGACCCACTGCGACTGCTGCCGCAAGATTGGCCTGCCGCTGCTGCCCAGCGGACAGGGCTGCGCCAAGATCGCCTACCTGGGCAACGACGAGATGAGCGTCTCATTGAAGTACGGCGACATCACGCTCGCCTCCCGTCGCATCTCCAGCAAGAAGGCGCGCCCCATTTGCGTGGGTCTGCCCGGCGGCTACAATCAGTTCTGCGGCCGCGTCTATGGCCTGGGCCGTGCCAAGGACAACTTCAAGGCGTGCCTGGCCTTCGAGCTGCGTGCGGACGATGAGGTGGAGGCCCAGCTGCGCGTTTCCTGCTTTAAGTTCGGCAAGGACGGACTCCGGGTGGCCGAGGCTGAGCCCCTGCCTGCCAAGCCCAGTGGCGACGATGACGACGACGATGATGACGACATCTTCGGCTTTGCCGGTAAGCTCTTGCCCCAGCCCCAGCCCCCAACAAACGTAGTATGACTAATGGTAATCCTTCTGCTGTTCTCCCTTTCAGCTGGTGGCGACGACGACGAAGATGAGGAGGATGACTATGACGCCGACACCGATACCGATACCGAGGCGGATACGGACGATGATGACGATACCGAGGACTACACCGAGGACGATGACGCTGAGGCTGAGGCGCCCGAGGAAGCGGACTACGGTGGCTTCAGTCTGGCCGGTCTCCTGGACGAGCTGGACGACGACGACGATGAGAAGCCCGTTAAGAAGCCAGCGGCAGCTGCTGCGGCAGCCATCACCCCGGCTGGGGATCAGACCCGTGAGGCTCAGACAACCACCGATTTGGTGCAGAGCAAGGACGAGGCGGGCGCTACTGTTGCTGCTGCCCCATCGCCGGCTGCCGTCGCCGAGGATGCTGTGGAGGAAGTCGTTGCGGCAGTGACGCCAGCGCCAGCCGACACCGCTACCGACTCGACAACGCCCAAAGCGAAGAAGTCGAAGAAGGCGAAAAAGAACAAGAAGAAGAAGGCCGTCTCCGCTGGAGCCAGCGAGGAGTCCGGCTTCGCCTACGAGCTGCTCAACGGCATCCTCGACTTCTTCAACTGAGCGGCCGGCGCGAGAGGACAGTGTAAATACCTTGTACCCTCGGATCCGGAAATGAAAATGGAACTGGAACTGGGCCTGGTACTAGAGCTGGAGCCAGAGTCGAAGTCTCGGGCTTGCCGGTGGCTAGCATTAAGTAATTCTATCTGTTAAGGGTCTCGTCAAATGCGCTTGCTGCACGAAATTTATTTATTTTCTATTTATTTCATTGAGATGTTCGGGTGCGCAATTTAAGCAAGTGGTGTTTTTTTTTTCGTAAATTTATGTTTAATTTATTTAACATTTTTAACGAATAAAAGTCGAAAATTACTTCCATCTGCTTCTTCGCCCCCTTGCCAGTGTCAATGGGCTGGACTTGTGCTTCCTTTGATGCTTTGCCACTGGAACTGTGCCTCTTCCTTGGCTTCCTCTGTGGCTCTCGCTTCAGCTGCTTCCCCGGCCATGGCTGCTGTACCTATGCATATCGGGGAATGCATTTGACCTTCGCTCTCCTTTTTTGGTCTTCCCAACTCGCTGCAGTTGCACTGTTAATTATAATGTAATTGCCAAATCTAATGCTGTGGTTCCTGCTATTATTCCTGTTGCTGTCAGTCAAATTTAATTAGATTTACATTACATTTGCATGTACGATTGGACATACATAAATGCCACTGGTTGCAATTGCAGTGGCAGTGGCAGCAGCAGTCTGCAACTGTCTGCAAAATATTCAATTAGTTAATGCAAGGGCAAGTTGCGGTCTTTAACCAAAACTTCTGCTCAGGATGGCTCGTCCCAAAAGGCTCTGCTATAGGTAAATATTAATTGTATATTGTGGTGGTGCCATTGGCATTGGTACCCCCAACGGGTTGGGGGGATGTATTCAAAGATTCCCTCTGCCGCCCAGTAATAAAACACAATTGGTTTAAGCATTTAAGCCTAAAAGTTTTTTTTTATGGAACTTTAACACGATTAAATATATTAAATAGGTTTGTGGATTAATATAGTCATCCAATTTGGTTGGATGATTTACAAATATATGGATGCGTAAATCCATTTGATATACACATAAAAATATACAATTACATTCCTATAAACAATATTCATAGTATTGAAATGGTAATCGATACCTTAGAAACGATCCCTGTAAAGAACCCTCCAGCCTTTCTTCTAAACTTAATTACACTGTGCTACATGGATTTTGTACTTTGCACAGGACATAAATTTGAGTAGAATACACACATAAATAATTATGGTATCATTCGTAAGGGAAAGGTGCCGATTGTGAAACTTGTCCAGCAAGCAGATGCTACTCATCTGAGTATATGGAAATATGCACATTGGTGTAGGAGCTGTGAACATAATAAAGAAAATTAAAAAAAAAAAACGGGTAAAATTAATTTTTTTTTTATTTATGATATTCTGATATTTGTTTTCAAATGTTCTGTTCACTAAATTTCTTGATAATATTTCTCAATATAAAGAAATCAATTTAGTTCCTTCGCTGACAGTTACCCAAGGACCTCTAGCTTTTAATCGGTAAAAATATATATGTACATATGTATGTATGTTATGAGGCAAAAAAGAAAACTGTATCCAGAACCAGCAATGTTCCCATACGTATGATTGTATATTGCATGAAAAAAAAATATTCTTTTTAATTTAAGAGCCGATATTCAACGAGATGGAACGTTGTGAGTCGCTTCAGTGGCAGCGACTCTACTTTTATACCCGTACTCAGTCAGTATATAAATATGTGAGATTATGCTATATGTGGAATTTAAATTTATATTTGAATTGATATTTTACATTTGTTTGCTACAGCTGTCATCCACATCTACAATGTAGATTATCCACATTTCACAGGGCAGAGTGTGTGCGAGCGGGAAAGAGAATAGGTAGCGTCCGCTGTGCAGAGAGGGGCGGGGTAAGAAACTACAAATTATTCTTCATTCTGTCTATAATAATGATCCGATCTGTACCAGAATTGGCTATCTGATAAGATATGCAGGTATAGGCGAAGAGGGGCGGGTTTGGTTTGGTTTCTCTATCTTTTATAGTCTCTGAGAACAAGGCGCTCATCAGGACAGACAGATGGACGAACATTGGTATATCGACTCGGCTATGGATGCCGATAAATAATATAAAAATATACTTTATGGGTTCGGAAACGTTTCCTTCTCTGCGTTGCACACATCCCCTTCGAGTACGGGTATAAAAAATAGTTGAGTTGCAATGACAAATGTGCGATCTTTCTTATGATTTAATTTCCAACAAAACAAGTGCTAAAAATATGTGAGGATGTGATCTACTCAAACATGCTGGTATTATTTGCCTTCAAAGACTCAAATCAATTTGAGGCTTTTTTCTGTGGAATGCAAAATCTAATTTTAGGAAGAAGAAATCTCAAAAAATATTCATTATTAATATTTTTATATTTTTTGTTTCTTTTTTTTTATTTTGTAACACACAAAAACTATTGATGCTTTCTGCACAAACCCTTTCCTTGCCATTTCATTTGACTTTGAGCAGAGTGAAACAAATGTATGTATGCAGAATCGAATGAAATTATCGTATGAGTTGTGGGAAGAGTCCCCGAAATTTCATCTTACTCCGTTCGCATATGTTACTCACAAACATGATATACATATCGTAATCACCGCGCTGCCAGTCAAAATCCATGCTCTAAAAATTCTATTCAGATCTAATCCGAAATTTGTGTATAGTTTGGTTACAAATTTTGTATAGTTTCTCACAAAATTTAGCACAAATATTGTAGCACATCGAGAATACGATTATATTGGTATATAAGTACACAGATATGTAAGTTCTAAATGGGTATATGTGTCGATAAATCTCTCTCTTACTTTGTCTCTCTGTTTTTCTCTTTTGTTCCCCAAAAGAGGTACAACATAATGAGGGATGTGTGACGTGTCCATTGAGTGAGCGTGTCTTCAATTTGAAAGATCACTTGGATCACTCAGTAATTGAGACAGTTCCTTAAGTGGTTCGTTGCTGTTATTAACCACTGGTTAGTGTATGTCTGTCTGTCTGTGTGTGTGTTTGTGTGTGTGTGTGCTTGTCATTGTTCCTAACGATATATGAATCCCTCTTGCTTACAGAAGCACTCAATATGGTTTTGAGACTCAGCTGAATGTAGTAAGTGGAACTTGTTAATAAATAAATAAATATACGGACATCAGTCTGTATATCTATATCTTAGGTTTTACCGATTATCTAACGATATTCCATACATACAGCTCTCCTTTAAAATCGTTTGCTCGAGGCCATTCACAAGTCGTTATTCATTTCATGGACGCTCCTGCCTTTTTTCTCATCTCCATTAGCCCCGTTTTTGTGCCAACTATTAGTTGGGAGCCACCTGCCGCACGTAACCCGTCCGTCTCTGGAGCCGAGCAACTCCTTTGACCCAGAGATAGTCACGTTTCCATCTAGTCGATATGTCTAGTCTGGCCCGGCCGTGGCTGCCCAACTCTCACATGAGCATTTTCAAATGTTTGATGTGCTCCTCCTACACCTCCTACTATTGCTAGTACACGTACGAGGCTGCTCGTATGTTCTGCGTATCTGCAGAACTCTGTGTACGTATTCATATTCAATTTGTTTAAGTTCTTTGTTGTTTTCCCTGCATTCCTTCTGTTAACTTTTCGTTTCGTTCTGCTGCCCCATCTGAAGCCCCAAAACAATGCGTAGATTTTGTTGCCGTTGTTGTTCTTGGGCTTTTTACACTTCCTGTTGGTTTTTTCTTGTTTTTTGTTTTGTTTTGTTTTGCTATGGTGTCGTCACTTCACCTCAGCTTGTTCAACATTCCTTCATGCCATGTTTTAATATTGGGAACTGCAAACAATATACATATGTAGTAAAAAAAAAAAAAAAAAAAGCAAGTGAATTGAAGATCAAACGAAAAATAAAATTGAAGGGTGATTTAATTTTGCTGTATGAAATGATAATAATAATAATAAGCTATTTAATTAAACCCAATTCCTATGGTTAGAAATTACATTTTTGTTGTTGTCTGAGGACAGTTTAGGACTCTCTATGGATCCATTGTAAACAACTTCTCCGCTCATTGTCGATATTTATAGGTGTCCCTGCACATATGTCCTCTCCCGTTTCAAATGTTTAACACAAAACTCAAAAGGCCGTCTGAGGTCTAACACCTACTGTTAGGGTTCTGTTGGTGAATTTAACAAGGGAATTGGATTTTTATCCGTATCTGTGGTTTGTATGAGGCGATTGAGCTTAAGAGGTAAAGATCGAAAATAATACTTGACCTGCCAAAATTATTTACTTTTTACGAGTATCACAACACCGAATACATTTAGAGAGTAAGTTTTGTAAATTATTGGTTATTTGATATGGCCAACGAGCCGACAGCTAAGCAGATGCAGCACTTTTTTTCCGTCCGGAGCTATTGGAATTTCATCCATCAACAACCATTCCAAAACCGTTGCAACAGTGCTCCCTGTCAAAATAGAGATATTGGCCCCAGTACTTAAAGTACCCAGAATGTTCACTCACCTGTTCCGAATTCACATGACACTTGATAGTTTCTTCTCCTCTCCAGACCCTGTGAATATTCCTACGAACAGATCTCCCTCCAGATGTCCTGCTCGTTGGTTTTGTATTCTTATTTAGGTACAAAAAGAATTTGTTACGAATTATCGCACTGGTAATTGTAGACATTGATGAATTCACAAACATTTTTTTTTTTTCTCTTTTTCGATTAAACTTGCTTGGTTTGAGTATTTGTAGTTCTTAGTATCTATAAAAAAAATCCAACCGTTTTCATTTGGTTTTAGCCCCACTGTATGTCCGTACTTTAGCTCTGTTTGTGGATTATGGAATTGTGTTTCTCGCATTTTTGGTGTATTTATGGGTATTCCGTCTTAAGAAAAAAAAACCTGCTGCTGTGCTTTTATCGAACATCTGATTTTGTTTTCCTCATTTTTTTTGGTTTCTGATATATATATTTACTACAGTTAGTGGTTAATTGAATGCTTTAACTTTAATATGAACTTGAAGAAATGCCTTTAAAAAAAAATCTATCTGCTTTGCTTGTGCTGTCCGTTATGCGTTTGCTTGTCATAGTTTTGCCTGTAATTGTCTGTTCTTTATTATATGGTTTTGGGCTCTTTACTCAAACATGCTTTTGCTTTGCCTTGAGCAATCAAATTTAAATTATAATTTTTTATAGTTTTTTTTAATAAATTTTTGGTATTTACTTTGTTTTGGTTATAAATACAAAAAAAAAAAAATGTATATATAGCTGCGTTAGCTGTCCGCTCGGACTTTTCAACGTTTATTTTTTTGCATATCTTTTGCTATGATGTCGGATTGTTTTTATATCCTCAGCTGATGATTCAATTTAGCTTTGTTTTTGCTGCTTTGTTTTTTGTGTGTGTTGGGCTTTTGGGTTCTTTGTCAAACAATTTGTCTCTCCAATTAGTTTTTTTTTTGAGTTTTTTTTTTTTATAATATGATCACAAAAAAAAAAAAACAAAATTATTATCTGCCGAACTCTTGCGGTTGACTTATTTATATTTACCCTGTTTCTGAATAACTTACAGCTCCTTCAGTGTTTTAATTTTTATATTTTATGCAGCATTATCGTTTCGTAATGTTTCGTAATTTGTTTTGCACATTGTTTTTTTTTTTCTGTTTCAATTTGATTTTTGTTATGTCTGATCCTGTGGCTGGCTAGGTCTGTGATGTCGTCTGCTGTTCTTTGTCGCAGTGGCCCTCTTGTTTGATACGCCCACAAAACTAAATACATCACAGAGAAAGTAACATCAGCCCAGATCAAGTGCAGCACATACTTGGAAGTACATATTTGTGCTGTGGTTTTCATGGCTGGTGTTTAAGTCATATCCGCTATAAGCTGGTCGTGCCATTATCGGGTTTCCTCTCCTGTTTTCAAGTTGTTACGGATTTAATTGTTACTTAAATTTAGATTACCCTGTAATTTGTTGGTCTTGTTGTTCGTCTTCTTTGTTTGCCTTGAATTATTGTCCGTGCCGTCGGATTGGTCGTGGACAAGTTTTCTGAGAGTGTGTGGAAACAACCGAAATGGCCGATATTTTTATGTCATTGTTTTTTCTTGTCCTTTTTTGTTTCCTTTCCCCTGCCCTTTCCTCTTCCTTTTGTTTAAAATCAGTCTATTCGTTACCTTAATGCCCCCACCCCCGACTACTTTCTATATATTTCCATCCCATCCCCCCATACCCCTATTTAGATCCCAAAGAGATCGGTGCAGCTGGAGGAGGTGCGCCGACTTAGCCAGTGGGAGGCCTTGAAGCGCAGCAGCGACGAAACAAACCCCTTGGTGCGTGCCGTCATCTTCTTCACCCTGCCATTGCAACTGAAGTGGAACAGCGGTTTTCTGCACTCCGACCGAGTCGAGATGCCGCCACCCAGATGCGAATCGTCCGTGGCCCGGCGCTGTAGTCTCGGGAACATATTGTCCGAGGTTGCGGTGGCATTGCCCGCGATGGACCGTCGCTTGCTAAACGGGCTGATGGGTAAAGGTCGCCCCGAATGGTTGCGGAGATTGGCGGCCAGGAGCTCAAACTGGGTGAGGAAGCGACGTCGCCGCTGGGCCTCGCTTTCGTCGCCGTCCTCCCGATCACTCTCCCCCACATTCAGAATGTCTTTCAGACTGATTGGCGGCCGATGGGAGTCAACATCGGCCTCGGGACCCAGCCCGTGGTCGCTGCGGTACAAGCTCAGTTGGCGCTCCAGGTGCATGCGTCTGTGGTTTTGGATGCTGCTCTGCATATTCACGCGCTCCAGGTCGGCCGGAGAGAGCATGCTCAGGCGCTGGGGATTGAGTTTCACCTGGGCCACCACGCCCACCAAAAGCTCATTAACATTGTGGCACAGCCCGGCCGACGTCTCGATGAACTTGCAGGGAATCTCCGTGGCCACTTTGTGGCCGACTTAAATTTTGGGCAAAGAATAGAAAATTTAAGCAGAAGGAGAGGGAGAAGTAGAAGTAGAAGGGAATATAATAGCTTTCGGTTAGAGGGGAAACTCACTCTCTTGGGGCACAGTGCGATGGCGTTCCAGGTCCGCCTTATTCCCCACCAATATGGCACCGCGGCTGAGCAGCATGTCGTTGTCCCTCAAATAATGCAAGACGCGCTCCGCGTTCCGGAACGAGCGAACGTCCAACACCGAGTAGACGACCACGAACAGATCGATATTGTATGTAGCGCAAAAAGCCTCCGTCTAAGGGGACAGCGAAGAATGTACCGAGAGGAGACAGAGAGGAGAACGTATGAGCAGAGGGGAAATGTTGAGAATTGCTCCCAATCCTATTTGGACTTTTGTTTTATTTATCTAAGAGCAGACCGACTATTTTTTGCCAGATTCTTTGGTACATTTCGATTTTTGAAACTGTTTCCAGTCAGTTTCCTGTCATTTACCAAAGTGTATGGCCACAAGAAGAACGATGCTGCGAGTATTAATGGCATTCATGACAAATGTACCACAGGGAGGTATCACGCGAATGGTTGGGAAGGATCAGCAGGAACCAGCACGCTAGATGGTTTGCTTTTAGTCAACAAATTGCCGCAGCCAGCAGACGGACAGAAGTGCAGGACACAGGATAGCTCCGCCGCATATAGGTAACTTATTTTGATGATTTTGAATACTCACCGACATCTCGCATGCGGGATGATCCACAACTTCAATGTCCGATTCAACGTCATCCACCAGCACAGACACCGTCTTCTGTCCATATTCCATCTCTGTGGAAAATCGAAAAAGGGAGAGAGACAGATTCGTTGTAGAAGCGTGAAAATACTCGACTATGAAGGGGAAATCGAATTGTTTTAAATCCGAGCTAAAAACGGATTAAAATTTCAATTTATAAATTAAAGCAGAACTTATTCCATAAATGATAGAAAAATGGCGTTGAAGTTTATTTTATATTTTCATAAAAAACACTCATTTCCTTTGCAATTTACAGCCCTTTTTTCTATCACCGATTTGACAGGCATACAGAGGAATGGAACACCTTTCAAGCTGATTATAAACATAATTACATATATAAGTATATATATAGTATATGCTGGTATATCGGAACGCCCCCCCCCCGTGATATGTGAAGAATAAATAAATAAAAAAAATATTTTAAATAATCAATCAATCAATAAAAAATAATAAATATATAAAACAAATATTTAAAATACAATCAATAAATAATAATAAATGAATAAAACAAATATTTTAAATACAATCTATAAATAATAATAAATGAATAAAACAAATATTTTAAATACAATCAATAAATAATAGTAAATGAGTAAAACAAATATTTTAAATTTTAAACACACAACTCTTGAATGGTTACTTCCATCAACTGTTTTAAACCCAAGCTTTAACCATTTTCTAGCTTCGTTTCATTCAAAATCAGTGCTCTAACCACATTCTACACGCAACACGGTTAATACGGCTAATTGTCTGTCCGTAGAAAGCTAACAAGGTTGCGCTCGACTATGTCAGAGTTTTCTTTGTGAATTAACATTTGAAATCATATTATTGTGTCTGTGTGTCATCCGAATTCCATGCAGAACCTGGAGAAGGCGGAGAGCAGACCGAATAACCCCATTCTGTGCCCAGGTCTCGTCCTGGTCGACAGCCTTTTGTTCAAAGGCTTGGCAAAAACAAAACAATAAAAGCGAATGGCGGAGAGAGGAGAAGAATGGTGGGATGAGGGAGGGAGGGAGACATATTTCGGACATGATGTTGCACGCGAGACACACATCATCATCATCATCATCAGCCGGAGAGCAGACGGAGAGCAGACGGCGAGCAGACCGAAGAGCACATAAAACACATCACACAACATCAGCCAGCAGGGGCAGTGGCAGTGCACTAATGGACTGGAAACGGATTTGTGTGGCGTGCGTTTGATGTCCACTACCGTTTCCATAGTGCCGCAGCATATCCGCAGATTGATATTACGAGTATGCATAGTGCCGCAAGTATGTATTCGGAATCCATGCCCAAGCCTCCCATTCGATTCCATTCGTCTATGCACTGTAAAGTGCAATATGTTGCCAGAGAGACAGTTGGGCCACTAATTATTTTGGTTGCTTGTGAAATAAAATTACGTTTTGGAAAACTTTGCCCCAGGAGACGCCAACAGCATGCACTTTGAATCGAGCTGAATCGAGTCAACACTTAATTAATTTTTAACTGCAAATTGCAAACTGCAAAATGCTAACTGCAAACTGCAACTAGGCAGAAAGCCTTTTGTCAGAGTGCAGCAGGTCCAATTATTATATCCACAGCCTCATCCACAGCACAAAAGGCAGTCAAATTTTAGATCTAATTTCACTCTCTAATTAAATGCAAGCCGAGCTTTTATAGGCAGACGCTTGCTCCCCTCTGCACGCTTCACTGTGGCACATTGTGGTTGCATGGATGAGAAGCGAGGCGCCAGCCAGCAGTATTGTGCTTAATATACATTTGTTATTCCCGTACTCAAAGAGTTAAGGCCGTACCCCTAAAACAAAAACAAAAAAATACCCAATATTCCGTTCTCGTTTCCGTTATTTTCAGTTGATCCGTCTTGCAATCCGTCCCGCTCGTTGGTGCTTCTCTAATTTTTTGGCTATTTTCCGGCCGGGTCGCTCCGTCCTTCATATTCCCGTGTCTGATCCTCCATTAGCGTTAACCTCGCTTATAAACTACCCCTAAAGTGTTCAGAGTGGCACCTGGAATGCGCATTCCATTGTAGCCAAGAATACAACAGCAGAACAGCGCAAATACGGAATTATCAACAAATTCTTGTGAATATGCTGGCAGAAATCTAGGAAAAAGTAATTGGATTTTCTATTTAAAACTGCGATTGTTCTCTGAGCAACAAGGACTGACATCATTTAAAAATGCACATAGTTATGTACATTTGTAGGTTTATCACACATTTGTCTTGTTTCACGGAAAAGTACTACGTTCTATGAAAAAGACACAGGCGGAGGTATGAATACCTAATACCCGTGAGGTCAGAGATATTTCGTTTTATACTCAAACGCGAAAATACCAAGGATACTACTATAGTAGATACATATATTCAACAAGTAGCATGTGAGTTGTAAGCTTAAAAGTACTTTGTATTCCACTTACCAAGACTTAGGTCGTAGGCGCAGATATAGTCCGATGTCGTGAACTGGAACGATAGTGCTGACTTTCCCACCGAAGGACTGCCGAGCATTGCAATCTTGAAGGTGGGCGGCTCTCCGGATGGTGTTTGTTGTGCATCGATGATATTACCCCATGCGTCTCTTCATAGTTTCGGGCAGAAAGGAAAAGATGGGTTGGTGTATACAAGCAATGCAAAATAAATAAATAATAAATGGAAAAACATAACAAACAAAAGGGAAAAGCGTCAACGGCGAGTTTCTTTGACAATGTTCCCGGCATTATTGTCACCCGGTACACACGGTCATCTTCATATCGAATTCTTTTTTTTTTCCCCCCTTTGATCTGGATCTTCGTCCAGCAGAAATTGTTTTGTGTGAAAATTGTATTAAACTATTCGATGAGCGTACTCGTGTGAATGTTCTTGTGCGTGTGTGTGTGTCACAGCATCATACGGAAAAACGCCGCAGGTATACCATTATTGTCGCCATGCGAGCTCTGACGACGCCATGCGTGTGGTGTCTGTGTGAGGGTTTTATTGTCGTTTATGAACAATTTATCGGCTTTCATCGAACTGAAAACCCTACCAACGCACTGCACTTCTTGCCATATACTTACTGCTTGTCATTTATTGGTCTTCATGCACAGCTTGCACTGAATGCTATTTACTGCTTTATTTACATGCACTGACTGTGTAAGATGCATGCTGCCATGCACTACTTGCCACCGTACTCACCTATTGTTGTTTCGAATGCCGCTGTAAGAAGAGGTACCCCCCGATGTCACTGAGTTGTTTGAGCGTGACCTGCGGCTTCTGTGAATCATTTTGGGTAGAAATTAATAAGGAAAAAGACAAGAATGGTCGACATATTGGTCAAAACTGTGCACAAAACTGGAAACTTACCGCAGGGAGTCCCCCAAATTGCATACCCCATTCGAGGTAATGCTAAAACTGCGCAGCCGGTAATACTCGATGCCCTGATCTTCTTCGGCATGTTTCACCGCCTGACGCATCTCCGCATGTTGTGGCTGGGAAAGGCAGTGGAACAGAGAGATATGGGAGAGATGGAGGGGAGGACGAGAGAGGCGGAAGAGGAAGTGACTAACACAATTAAATAGCTGATAGGAGAACTCACACCCTCTTTACCCAGAAGAGTCATCATTTGGTTTGGTTTTCATTTAAATTTAAGATGTTGCTAATTCTACCAAACGATGTCCATCTGTGGTTAAAAGAGTTTTAATTAGGCGACCTTACGCTGGCTTTTAACACTGCAATGAAGGGAACTGCAAACATACAAAAAGATGTGCTAAATTCTTAGTTTTTATCGTAATGAAGCGTGTCGGAATCTGAATTAAAGCTTTATGGTAAAATTAAGCTACTGCGCAGCACTGAGGGCCTAAACGAAACTTATACCCAAAATAGCAAACAATATGCACAAGACGTTATTTTGTGCATGCGAATTTTCGTGGTCATTTTTTGCACTGCTTTGGCTCGTGCAGCCGCCTCCAAGGGATTGCTGCAGGCATTCACATGGCAACCAGGCTTCCGAAGTTAGGGGAAGGAAACCCATTAGCAGTCAACTCATCAGTGAAAAATGCTTAATAGTAAGAGAAAACCAGCCAAAATATACATATACTCGCACATGGTTCGTGGAGGGCAGCAGACATGGGCTTGGCAGCAAGGGATTATTACACATGTATCCAAGAATATCAGTAAATATGTACATGCATAAATTCTACACACACACATGTACATATGTAAGCCTGGGTATGTTGGGCGGCAAGTTTTTACCATTCAGCATGAATGGACATTTGATACATTGTTCTTCTTTGGCTGTTCCTTTATGCTGCTCCTGCTGCTCTTGCTGCTCCTGCTGGGTCGCTGCCTGCTCAAGTCGCCACTCATTTGAACGACGGATGGAAGAATATAGTTTGCTGTTGGAGCCAGCTTATCGGGTGGCCACCCAGTGCATCCCCATGCGGCAGACTCACGCAGACAACACTTTCCAGCGTATTTTCTTTTTTGGCAACGGAATACAGAGGCGGAGGCAGACCAAGAGCTAACTCTCCTGCTATTTAACTGTTTTTATGGCCGTGTGTCATTAACTTGTCGCTCGGCTACCTATCCTTATCTGGGGCCTGCACTTTCGTAGGCGCTGCAGCTAATGTAATTAGTTTTGTGAAATTGCTCGAGTGCAAATTGTGCAATGTGAGCCTTGCTACCCCTGTCCCCTGACCCAGCCACATGGGAAAACGCAGCCGGCGGAAAGTGGAGCAGCTGGGAGCTGCCGGGAGCATTGACCGGTGCCCTGGCACCCTGGCACCCTGGCAGCCTGGCACTTTCTCGCTCGCACTGTTCCACTGTGTCTCCTTGGAAGCAAAGTTTTTGCATCATTTCTATGCGCAAACTTTTTGGATTCGACAGCAGCACAGCAAGAGTCACGAAATTGATTTCATTGCGGCGCATCATGGGATGTACATACATATGTACATATGTATGTACATATGTATGTATGTACATGTGTAAGCTGAAGTGTAAGTATGTGTAGTCTGGCTGCGGCGCATAGCTTTCAGCTTTCAGCTTGCAAGTTGCAACGTGCAACTGGCAATTAAAGCGTAGCAAGGCGAAACCTCCAAACGGAATCAATGGCAGGCAGGCACGTCCCAGAGCCCCGGGACACCGATGCGAATGGGAAGCGTTTAATGGAGAAGAATTGTCAAGTGTGCGACGGAAAAGGGAAACTGTCGAAGGCAGTCACAGATCCTTTTCACACTTTTGTCACCTCCTTTGCATGGGCAAACAAGCAAAGCCATGTCCTGTCCTGCCTTGCATTGCGCCCCCCCCCTCCAGGCGACCCCAAAGAACTTTGCCTAGCGTGAAAGCATGGAATTCGCGCCGAAACGGGCATGGGACACGTTCCACGCCAAAAAGACTCGCCCGCACACGAGTATATGTATGTACATATGTATGTACATATGTATGTACATATGTTTGTATGTATTTTATGGTGTGCATGGGAATGGCATAAACATAGCACGGAACGTGAACACGGATTAAAGACCTCCCTCCTCCCAGTGTTTGCCAATAAGTTGCCCCGAAGTGCTTTGGCGGTGGGACATAAAAACTCGTTCTCCGCTTGTTTGCTTTATTAGGCGCAATGATTGTCAAGATTCACGCATGTGTGTACTTGAGATAAGTAAGCAGTAGTTACTGCTTAATTTAACTGCTTTTGCTGACCCATGCAAAACTGTGTTTACATACGAGTATGACACTTGCTTAAAGAATCGCACTGCTTCTTTCCTCTCTACTTGATTCCTTATTGCACTGCTTCACTAGATAAACACTAGATTGAACACTCATTGAACTTAATGCCACTGCTTGATGGTCAGCTGTCAGCGCTCGAATCGAATAATTTTGTGTGATTTGTATTTGGTTTTCGAAGATAATTGGTGCAATCCTTACCTACATACTCACCCTGCGGCACTCGGCCGGCATGCTGGATGTTCTCCTACGCTGCCTGGGGGCCAAGCGGCTGCTGAGTGTAGGCATCATTAAGATGCCCGAGCTACTATGCCTCTGTCCTTGTGTTGTGGATGCCTCGCCGCCAATGGGTGGCTCCCGCTCGATATGCACCTGGCGCACGCGTTTTGGTATGTTGCAGCCAGCTGCTTCAGAGCCGATGGCCTCCGCTCCGCTGGACATTGCACTTACCACGGCCATGCCAGTGTGGGCTCTCAACTCGCCGTATGCGGTGGGCTGGTGGTCGCCCACGATGCCATACTGCGGGGAAACCGCTCCGCTCATGGCTTGGTGCATGGTCAAAACCCTGGATCCTTCGGGGAGCTCCCTGCAACGGACAAAGTCGATCAGGCAATGCGTTTACTCAGGGGGATAGTCCATATCCCTGGTCTCCGCTTCGCATCTGAAACTTACCTGTGCTCGACGCTGTGCAAGATGCGTGGATGAACCTCCGGTTGAACATAGTGCCTGCCCGAGTGCTGCATGCTTGATTCGGTGGCGAAGCTACGAGGAGCCATTTCTTGCTGTAGACATAAGCGGATGACAAAGACAAGCAAAAATATTTGACTGCCAGAAGGAGTTCGTTGTTGTTAGAATATGATGAGTGATCATGAGTATCGGGGATTCGAATGTGTTACGAGGGGATTATCGAATACCTTCGACCTTTGCCTGAAGGCTCCGAATCACACTGTACTCACAGTCTATCTCTGTTTTGTCCAATTGGCAGTCCATTTGGCTCGACTGGCAGATAGAACTTAACTTACCCGACTGCCGCCTGGATGCTGGGCAGCTAAAATATACTCTTCGTATTGCGGCGGCGGCTGCCAAGCCTGGATGTCCTCCACAGATTCGATGTTCCGTGGCTCCACAAAACGGATTTGGTTGTGGCCGTGCGCCACGGGGACAGCAGGGATTCGATTCAAATCATTGTCCTGCTGGACCCACGGCTGTCCGACGGGTAGGCCGCGATAGCCGCCGCTGCCCCGTCTGCTGTGGACCGGTGGTATGGGCAGCAGCCGTTGGGGCACCACCCCGACACGCTCCATCTCAAACATTGGGGAATTCTCTATGGAAGAATAGAGCGCAGTTCATCAATAATTCATGTACATGCCGAAAGAGTTAGTGGCTGCTGGACATACGGTCGTTGTTGTTGGACACTTTTGCTCTCAACGGTGGTGTGGGCAAGTCGTAGCTGTCTGTCGCACTTGCGCACTCACTCGAGTTAGAGTCTGAGTTTGAGCAATCACTGGAGTGAGTGCACTCGACGTCTGCGCAGACGCACATTGTTATCCATGATAGGGCTGGCGGACAGAGACAAACCGCAACTAAATGGGTATGATCACCACCTAGTGTAGTCTTTACCCGAGGGACCCGTACAGAGACAATCGCGTCTTCGTTTGGGTTGGCGAACATTGACAGGTGCAACCCACCTGTGCCAGCCAGCAAAGTCAGTGTCTCTCTGTGTGCGTCTCTCGCCAAATAATTTCCCCCCCAATTTAACAGTCAAATAAACAAATAAGAGATTGAGCTTGGAATACCCTTGCAGATCGATTGGTTTAACGGCAGCATTTAACATTATATGATAAATTCATTTGATTTTTTTTAGTTTGGTGGAAATTATTTCCACACAGCTTGCTCAACACTTCGATCCCATCGGGGGGCAGCTGTGGGGTAAGTTTTATGCAGAGTGACGGAATTGTATGTTTACTCTATGTGAGCGGAGATGTTACTCCGCCATGTGGCAAGTTCAATTAAAATTAGTACACTCCGCAAGGGTATCCTGAAGGACCTTCCCATGCTTGCCAGTGTGCGTGGGTGTTCTTGCGTTTACGTTAACATGTTTCATGGAGAGGCCCAAGCTTTGCTTACTGATATGCACATATGTGAGAGGATGAAATGGTATTGCAGATGAAACCATGCTTGCATTCCCCTAAAATTGATGAATCCTACACTTTTGATCCTGTAGTTAAACGGCACTCCGTTAAAAGGCTCACCGATATCAACCAAAAACCTTCCTTTATGCCCACAAATAAAATTATAATGAACAAAAATGATTGGCTCTAAGGTTCTCTAACAACGAGGTTCTCGAGCAATGAGCTACCTGGCGAAATTATCAATCCACAGGCCTGGTCTAGCCATGATTTAATACCCGCAATACTATATATTCAATTACTTGCAGGCAATTGTGGCTTAGCAGCTACAACAGAAGCCACAGGACAGCCGCCTCGTTAGTGGAGGCCTCCGGTGTGTGTCCCGCACATATACATATAGACATATGTACATATAAGGAGTATTCTGGAGGAGACTGCGTGAAAGGGAAAGGAGGTGCGCGGTCACTTACTGGTGACTAGTGCCCTAATCAAGCCCCGCACTCAAAAGCCTCGAAGTGGAACCCCTTAGCTGGCTGTGGGCATGCGGTTTATACGCGTATTGTTCATGCATACAATGCAAGAAAGGGTTCAGAGTTCTGTAGGTTATGCAGGCAGCATTTGGATAATTAGGATATGGGAGTATGTATGGAAGTTATGTATGTGTGTGCACTTTATTTGCTACTAATTGGATGTGAACACTTTTCAACACTTGCCGGCATGTACTCTGTACTCTTGCTGTACTCTGGCAACACTGGAAAAGCCCCTGTTCGTTGTGCAACACTTAATAACAAACAAACAAAAAAGCCCAAGCTGACAAGGCTTCATCCCCTAGGTATCTGCTGAAACACTTACCGCAGTCAAAAGAACGCCCCAAACAGTTTACATTTTCACCGTCTTCCTGCAGCTCCATTCGCTCCAAAGCATTGACCGCTTCGGCCACATCTCTGGCTCCATTGACAGGCAGCAGGCGATGGTTGAATCTCAACGGGTCCGGTGATGGTTCAATGTGCCTGGGGCAATATTCGCTGGAAGCTTCAGCGGGGGACGGGGTGTAACTACTCGTCACAACACTGCTGGCCTCTAACTGTGAATTAAAACGATCCGAAGGGGGGGGTAGGCAGTGTTGGTTAACGCCCTTGGAGATTGTAATTTACCTGGAGCCGGACATCTGGCTGTGCCTGAAGCATGAACCTGAGATGGTCGGTGCCCGTCAGCGGTGTCATTCGCTGCTCACCGAGTGGTACTGGTACTGGTACTGGTACGTGACTGCCGCTGGTTGTAGCCACCGGCAGTTGCCTCATCGAACCACTTGAGCTGGAACTTACATTCGGGTTCAGAACACTGGGTCCAATGCCGAGTTGGCTGCGTCCTGGATTGTTGATATGCTGAGCGTTCCTGTCATTGCTCGAGCGCAGCGTGTGGACGCGTCCGGAGGCCAAGTAGTGGTAGTGGCCCAACGATTCAGTAATATCGCTCGTCTCGCGATAGAATTCATCACCGCTAATGCTGGCGCGTCGACCGCGCTGCATATTGTGCACCTGCTGCAGATGCTGCCTGTGTTGGTATTGCTGATCCTGCAGCAGCTGCTGCTGGTGCTGTTGCTGCTGCCTCTGCAGCCGCAGCCGGTAGCTGCGCTCGAAGCTGTCCTCACGGCTCCGCAGGCTGCCTCCGCAGCGTCCTCGCTGCGGGTGCATCTTTCTGGGCTTAGGTCGCGGTATGGGTATGACCTACAAAGAAAAACGAAAGGCGGCAAGGCAGACCGGTCGGCAGGGTCGCCATGTGAGTAACTGATTTGCTTTAATTGTCGTCGTCGGAGGGGTGGGGTGGAGTGGAGTGGGTATGGGGTAGGGGATGGGGGGACGGAGCCAGCAAGGGCAAAGACCGTTGGGGTAGTGGCGTCAGTGGCGTCTATGTGGACTTGGGCTACCTTATCCTCTAGCATGTGGGCAAAGAGCCCTTCATGGTCCTCATCTTCGTTCATCATGTCGAAGAAGTTCTTGAATGTATCCGGAAACGAGGCCGGAAACTGAACCCGCGCATCCAGCTGGGTATCCATGGCGATCCCCCTTTCTTACGCTTTCGTTTTCGTTCTCTCTCTAATTGTTTCCTATTCACTTCTCTTCTCTTTCTGCTCTCTTCTGGGCTTCTTTCTGCTCCTATATTTGGTCTTTTTCTTGGCGAGAAATATGTTTTAGGAGAGGCACGGATACGGGTACGTGGCCCCACGACGACGACTGTCTGTCGCAGACGCAAACGCAGACACAGACACAGACCCAAGCCAAGTTCGAGTGACATGCAAGAAGAGAACACGCATCAATGTCATTATAGGTGGGATACCAAAGAGGATAGAGAGCAGGCGGACTACGTTACAAAGGGAGTGTATGTGTGTGTGTGCGCGTGTGTGTGTGGGTGTGTGTGTGTGTGCATGATCGTGCATATTGTCTGAAAAGAACGGATATATTGTAAATGTTAGCTTTTATTACGAGTATCAACGAGCAATTCGTCAGACTTGCACAGCTTGAACGTCAAGTATGGCAAGCAGTGTAAGCAGTGCTCGCCAATTGTCGTGTTGTCCGTTCAAGGTAAAATAATGCAGGTCTCGGAACTCTCGGCTCTAGAGCCAAAATATGTACATATCTATGTACAATCCAATGGTTAGGGAAAAAGCCATCAGCCTCTGTTTAACACTAACTAAAGTAGTATATTAAATTTATATTATGTTTTATCATTATGTATATACATATTTATATACGTATGTACATATAATGTGCATTCTCTTTGGTATAATAGCTCTATATCCAGCGCAAATGATTGAATGCTGGTATTAGAACCAGAAGGTTCCCAAAAGGCAGTATATTTCTCTTATATGTATATATGTACATATATAGTAAAATACTGGTACTCTAATTTTACCAAAACACACACAAAATAATATGTATTTTGTTTTCAACACATAAAGTACGATAAACCCGATTTTAATTGAACATTTTCAACGTGTACCTATTATTATGATCATATGTGTAATATCAGCATTTTGTTTGATTTTTCGAATGGCCTATATCTGCAAAAAAATAAAAATAAAGGTAACTCCAACCAGAAGTGGAACTAACCCCACAAACTCCATAGTAGCCTTCCTCCCTATGCAACATTTGGCAGCCTTCAACGAGTCTCCATCCTTGCTGTATAAAAACAGTAAAACCCATTGAAATCAACGTCGATGGGTAAATTGTTTAAGTGCCATTCATTTGATGACCAGTAAAGAGGAACAAGCAGTTTTCAGAGAAATGGGCTGAAATGAGCTTTTCATTTGAATGGATATAAATCATTCAATTTATGTGACGTATATAAATAAATCAGAAAAGGGACAGAAAGTTATTAGTAGCTCGAAAACAAATATATACTCGTACGTATACCTATAAAGGACAAAAACATATAAAATAAAGAAGAAAGAGAGTGATATAAAGAGCGAGGAGGAGTGAGGAAATAGGAGTGATATGATGTATAGTCCAATGCATAGGATCAACATGATATTGAAATTAAATGCGAAATCATTTAAATACAAAAAGGAATGAGAGGAGAAACAATTGGATGAGAGAGAAGAGAAGCGAAAATAAAATCAGGTGACAAATTAATGAGATGAGAAGGATGATGTGATGTTTCATGTGATAATTAAATGGGGTGGAAAAGGAATGAAAAGGCAACAACTTAATACAATAAAAAACAGGAATAATGCGACATTTGAACAAGTTGAAAAGGCAGCGAACTAAGTAATTGGACCATGTTAAAAATGTTGAGCAGCATGTTGAGACAGGCAAATGGAGGGAGAATGTAGGGAGAAACCCTTGCTCTTTGGGGTAATGAATTCCTAGAGTAAGACAATAAAAAGGGGGCTAAAATAAATAGTGTCAAAGACGACAAACTGTTGCGTTTGGGGGGTAACTGTGCAAAGTGTCGCAAGAGTAATGACACCAAATCAGCTTTGCTTTCGGCTTACTTACATCCGCCTCTCCCCTCCCCACTGGGCGCCACCCTTGGAGGGATTGCCTTCTAACAACTGATACATACATATGTACATACATATGTATGTATGTACATATATGTGGTTAGCCGAGAAGGCGTGGCCGAGTGCCGTCTAGACAGGCGACAGTTCCACAGTTCCACAGTTCCGGAAACCGTCCCAACAAAGGTCAGGGGCTGTTGACCCGACTTGGTAGGGCTGGTAGGGCAACTGCTCGTCCATTATGGAAAAAGGCTTGTCATGATTTTGCTCCTGGGTTTGGTTTGGGTTGGCGTTGGCGTTGGGTTGGCGTTGCCTGCCCCTCTCCTCTCAGTGGTGAGTATCATCCGATCATCTTAACGATGTGGCACAACACTTAAATTTCCATAGTGATAACCCCTTGCTAATTTGCCAATTTGCAATGGGGTAACAATTTCTATGGCCACAGTGCCCAGTACCAGTACCAGTACCAGTCTCAGTACCAGTCCGCGGCCCCCTACAATCTCTTAACATCCGCGCTCCCTTCCAATTAGTGGCGCCCTAGCGGAAGTCTCTCTCTCGCTTTCTCTTTACCTCTCTCTATGTGTGTGTGTTTGTGTGTGTGTGCATTCTTTCATCGTTCGTCAGCCCCAAGCCCAACCATGTCAAGTGGAGACCTGCTGGCCCAGACTCTTCGCTAGCGTCAAGCTTATTAAATAGTTGCGGCCACACTGCTTGGATGGGGGAGGGCGCAGAGCGGGCTGGTAGTTGGCAGCTGGTAAGCGGGGGAACGGCGGACTTGTTTGTCTGGCTTTGCTAAGCGTTTTAAGCGTTTAGTGCCCTCGGTAGAGTGGTGCCGCAAAACAAGGGCAACCGCTTCACCTGCATCACCCACTCCTGCACCTAGTCCAGAGGGGAGTGTTGTGGCACATGATATGCCACTCCATTTCCATTTGCAGGCTGCTAACATCATATCATCTGCGGACCTTTTAATTAGCAAACCAAATAGCAGACACAACTTAGGCATTCCAACATGCCAAGACAGAGGCGTTTAAGGCATGGCATATCCGCCTTGTTGCAAGTCGAAAAATACATATAGCGAAAATATCGCACACATACATACAAACAGACTACACTTGCATAAAAATGTGTGTGTCAGTGTATTAATTTGTGAATTAACTTTATGCCTTCCGTTTTGTTGTTGTTGTTGTTGTTGTTTTGTTTTTGTTTCTGTTTTGTTTTTGTTTTTTGGTCACACCTCCACGCTCCAACTTTGTATAATTACACAGCACTTGAAAACTTTTTGTGTGCACACAACACTGGAGTTGATGGATAGTTGGCTTCGGGTTCGGCTTCGGCTTCGGCTGCTGCTGCTTCGACTGCTTCGGCTGCTGCTTATTCCTTCGGGTTCTGCTTGGTTCTGCTTGGATCACTTGACTTGTGCCCCTCTCTTCGTTTCCGTTTCCGGTTGCGTGATTGTTTGCATAGGTCACGACATGGGCTGCTTTTTGGGGGCGATCCCCTCTAGCCGACGGCGCTGCTGATAATTTATGCCACACTGACCCAAATCCAGTACACGGGGACGGGATGGGCCAGACAATGGGGGTTTTTATTTTCGATAAAGGGCAAAGGGGGCAATAGAAGTGGCATTCGGACTTGCCACCAAACAACAACATCAAATACATCAAACACAGAAAATACATCGAAAAACTCCAAGAAATATGAAGTAGGAAACGAAACGAAAAGAAAAACAATAGAGTAGGGTAAAGACGGGTATAAAAAGGCGCCTGAAATTAGATTTGCACAACTTTAATACACATATGATGTGGCAAGAGTGAAAGTGAGACGATGTGACCGACAGGCAGGGGCATTGAGGGTCAAGACTGGTGAATAAAATGCGATGAAAATAATGAATGGGGGGGCACTTGGGAATTTCCAACCGAGAGACATTTAATTATCTGATTATTTTAATTGAACTTATAGCGAAAAGCTATACAAACGGCCGTTGCATAGCTCTAAGAATGTACAGATGTATAACATATTTTTGTTTTTTTTGTTTGCTTCAGACTACTTATGTAGATTGAACGAGAGAGCATGAGCGAATATATTCATAATCGTACCCGTACCATTTAACTCTTACATGCGCTCCTAGAGCCAGGGTATAAAAAGGAGCAGGGAGCGCGCACAAAGCAAGCTGCTGCTGCCACTCTTCGACGCGTTGAGTTTGTTTTGCTCACATTTCTCCCGTCATTGTTCGGGCAGAGGCAAAGAGAACACACAGAAGCCAACAGGAGAGTTGGCAGTTGGGAGCGCAGAAGGGAAAGAAGATTGCCGACAAACAGTCTTTGAAGCTGTAAACAAAAGCATCTGACTTAAATCCTTCTGCTGCTGCCCCTGCTGCTGCCCCTCATTTAAGTCGCATCTTGTCAGCCCCCGTTACAGCTACAGAGCTACAGCTACAAAAGCAGAAGCTGTTGCTTCTGCAGCTTTCAACACTCTTATCTATGCGATCTGACAAGCAGCCTTAAGCTGCCTTAAGAGCTAACGTGGCCATTCAACACAAATTAAATTGTGCAGAAATAATTGAAAAATTGCAAATAATTGAGCCAAATTATAATACCTGGAGAACCTGAAAGGCTGCACATCAGCGCATACGGTAACTTCTCGGAATAAAAAACCAATGAAGCCCATGCAGCGCACATTCCGCCGCAACAGGACCTTCACAATGCTAATCAGATGTGCAGTCGAATTTAATTAGAATATGTTCAGGTCCGCTGTCAGAGCCAGCCAGCCAAAGTTGGGCAGAATCTGCCATATTGTTAATTATCATTGAACTAAAAATAGAAAATCCGAAAATTTGCCTCAAGGTTTTGCTTAAAAGTTAAAAACTTTATGCATTTATTAAGGTTTTTATTATTTAGTCATACTTTTTTCAGAGGGACTGAGAACTGCCTCGGACACGTACCAAAGGAAATCCCACAGATGTGCATGCAACTGCTGGCAACGCTGACTGCTTGCAAGTAGAACTACTGCGCTTGACCAACTGCTTAATGTGCTGGACATGAGACCACCAGCGGAATGACTAGCATTGGCATTTGAATTAGCATTGCGTGTGTTGCACAAATGACACACATAGTGGAGCTGTCCAGCTCCCTTTTTGTGGCACACGCGCCCCAATAAAGGCAGCTTTGAAGTGCAAATATTTTCTCTAGACCATTGCATGCCCCTTAGCTATGCCACATCTACCCACTGTCGGCTTAGT